CAAAATAATTGATAACATTTCATAGTTAGTTATCGAATCTTTTTAAAAATCTTAAACAAACTGTATACAAATGTGAATCTTAATTGTCATAAACCATAAAGTAAATTATCATCAAGTAATGAGAATCCTCACTTTATAATGAATCTTTGTTTATTATGGAATAAGAAAATTTTGTTTTCAACTAACTGGCTAATTAACTTAGATGGACAATTAAAGAAAATGAATTCCATAAGGTAGTTTATTTGTAGTTAGAAATAATTTCAACACGGCCTGGAGACTGTTCTGGGGCTGCTCCCCAAGCCCGGATAAAGTAAGATGGTTGGGCTTGGGGTTGGTGAACCCAGCCCGTAAATAACTAAATCGCTAAAAAACGCTAACCAGAAAAATCAATTCACACCATTTTAACTCTGCCCTAGGAGTTAGAAGAAGAGTTATCAGGTCTCATGGTGATAGTCAAGTTCCTTCGGAAGTCACAAGGTCAATGTCCCTTATAGCAACCATAGCAACTATTCTTTTAGGTACATGGAACGTTCGAACAATATGGGAGACTGGAAGAATATTTCAAGTTGCTGCAGAAATGAAAAGATACAACTTCGAGGTGCTCGGCATCAGCGAAACGCATTGAACACAGGTTGGACAACAGAGACTAGCTTCAGGGGAACTGTTGTTATACTCTAGTCATGAAGAGAAAAATGCTTCACATACACAAGGAGTTGCACTGATGCTGTCCAAACATGCACAAAAGGAACTGATAGGATGGGAATCTCATGGATCCAGGATCATTAAAGCATCCTTCAAAACAAAGAGAGAGGTCATTACAATGAACGTCAATCAATGCTTTGCACCTGCCAACGACTACAATGACGATGATAAAGATCAATTCTACTAAAGGCTGCAGTCAGTCATCCAGAAATGCTCACCAAAGGATTTGACGATTTTAATGGGAGACCTAAATGACAAGGTTGGCATGGACAACACTGAATATCAAGACATCATGGGACGACATAAACTGGGAGAAAGGAGCGAAAACGGTGAGAGATTTGCAAACCTATGTGGCTTCAACAAACTGGTCATCGGTGGCACAATATTCCCGCACAAACGCATACACAAAGCCACATGGATTTCACCGGACCAAACTACTCAGAACCAAATTGACCATATCTGTATCAACACAACGTTCAGAAGGACCATGGAGGATGTGAGAACCAAGAGAGGAGCTGATATAGCCTCAGATCACCACTTGCTGGTCGCTAAAATAAAACTGAAACTAAAGAAGCACTGGACAACGGGGCAGACAACATCACACAAGTTTAATACAGCCTTTTTTCGGGATACCGTAAAACTCAACCAATTCAAGATAGCCCTCGGCAATAGGTTCCAATCTTTTCACGATCTACTCAATGGAGAGGAAAAACCCATGGAGAACAGTTGGAAAGGGATTAAGGAGGCAATCACTTCAACATGTCAGGAGGTCCTTGGTCGCAAGAAACACCATCACAAGGAATGGATCTCTGTTGGTACTCTTGAAAAAATTGAAGAAAGGAGGAACAAGAAAACAGCAGTGAATGTCAGCCGAACAAGAGCAGAGAAAGTTACCGCACAAGCTGCATACACAGAAGCAAACAGGGAAGTGAAGAAGAGCATCAGAGCTGACAAACGAAAATATGTGGAAGATCTAGCGATGACGGCGGAAAAGGCTGAAAGAGAAGGAAACTTGAGACAATTGTACGAAACAACAAAGAAGCTGGCCGGAAACTATCGTAAACCAGGACGACCAGTGATAGGCACGGAAGGCAAAATAATCAGTAACATTAAAGAACAGTGAGACAGGTGGGTAGAGCACTCAAACGAACTCTTGAGTCGACGAGCCCTACTGCACACAACAAACATCGAAGCAGCACCCACAGGCCTCCTTATCAATTTAAGCCCAAATAAAGGCGATCTCAACAAGTTTGAGAATTACGGAGGCATCACTCTTCTCTCAAAGTAGATGTAGGCTGCCTGGTAGGGTTTGCGAGACGTAAGTCACCAATTGTTAGAGACCTTGAACGACATGGCTCAAAATCGTTTGCAATGGCGCAGGTGCATCCATTAGTTGTGCTCTCTCAAATCCTCATCTTCTGGATTCGTCAGCACCTCTACCTTTGTTTTTCTAACCGTATCTCACTGAATTATACTTCTTGAATAATATCTTCAAACCCTAGTCTTCTTCATTACCATTAATACCTCTACTATCTCTATCACTATCTGATTTGATTTGACATTTGCGTCTCTGTGCTAATATGGTATGGCAACCTGAACTTATGTACATACGTACGAAGTTCTACGTTGCAACTGACTGACTAAGTTTTCAACAGGGTATTGTTAAACAGAATGAAGGTCTCCGTAGGCACCCAACTTCGAGATCAACAGGCTGGATCTTGTAAGGTTCGATCGTGTGCCGACCGAACTGCAACATTTCGGATCATTGTGAAACAATCAATTAAATGGAACTTACCACTATACATCAACTTTATTGACTACGAGTAAGCATTTGGTAGTCTGGACAGGACACCACTGTGGAGGCTTCTTTGACACTACGGTGTACCTGAGAAGATAGTCAATACCATACGGAATTCTTACAGTGGATTAATCTGTAGAATCATGCATGGAGGTCAGCTGACAGACTCGTTCGATGTGAAGACCGGTGTCAGGCAAGGTTGCTTACTCTCACCCTTTCTCATTCTCCTAGTTATCAATCGACTGGATTATGAAGACGTTAACATCTGGACGGAAGCACGGTATTCAGTGGACAGCCAGGATGCAGCTGGATGATCTCGACCTTGGTGATGACCTGGCTCTTCTATCGCACACGCAACAACAAATGCAAGAAAAGAATACCAGTGTATTAGCAGCCTCATCAGCAGCAGGTCTCAACATACATAAAGGGAAAAGTAAGATTATCCGATACAACGCAACATATGCCAGCCAAATGACACTTGATGGAGATGCCTTGGAGGACGTTAACACCTTTACATAACTAGGAAGGATCATCGACAACCAAGGTGGGTCCGATGCAGGTATGAGGGCGTGGATTGGGAAAGCAAGGGCTGCATTTCTACAATTCAACAACTTCTGGAACACAAAACTACAATCAACAAACACCAAAGTTACAATTTGCAATACAAATGTCAAGACAGTTCTGTTGTATGGGGTGGAAACTTTGAGGACTATCAAAGTCATATATAAGTGTTGATTAACAGTTGTCCACACAAAGTACCACAGATCTCTTGGCCAGACACCATCAACAACAACCTACTGTGGTAAGGAACAAACCAGATTCTAGTGGCCGAAGAAATCAGGAGGCAACTCTGGAAGTGGATAGGATAAACATTGAGGAAAGCACCAAACTGCGCCATAAGACTAGCCCTCACTTGGAACCCTCAAGGTAAAAGGAAGAAAGGACGGTTAAGAATCACATTACGCTGAGAAACAGAAAAAGACATGCGAAGAATGAACATAAATTGGACGGAACTGGAAAGGGACCCCCAGAGCAGGTTATGTTGTAGAATGCTGGTCGGCGGCCTATGCTCCATTAGTGGTAACAAGCGTAAGTAAGTAAGTAAGTAAATAGATATAATTTTGTTGTTTAAAGCTTTTATTCATTTGTTTATGAGTAAGGTTATGAGTATATTTGATATCATAGTTTGAGTTAACCACATATTAATCGACAACTAGATAAAAGAACTTAATGTAACATCCAAACACCTATTTCATATGATATTTATTTTTTGTTTAAAATTCTTAATCTTTATATACTTTCAGTAAGTTTTATCTAGTGTGACTGCATCGTTTAGCATGATCAGAGTTATATTATACTGAATTTAATAATCGTTTACATCATAATAGTACACCATTTTTTTTCATGTATTATTACAACCCTTTGTTGATAATGGTTTTCGAATGTATGGAAATCGATAAAGTCAAATACAAAAACCCGCCAATGAAAATATCGTCGCTTTTCGTATCACGATGGTGCAATCCAGATTATGTCAAGTTATCCTAAACACAACTTAATGGAACATATAAACAGAAGAGCTTTTTATAATATTTTTGAGTAATAAATCAAGAAGTTTATCAGAGGTCCATTACAGAATACATTACTATAATCTCCTAACATATCAGGTGACAGTGAATATTTTCTCGGCTTCCCATCTTTCAAGTGAATCAGTTTGGCGATGAAGTAAACGATCGTATGTTTGATTCTTCAGTTTTACTACATGGATTGACTTTTGTTAAACAGTCACTGACAAATGAACAACTATTTTTTCTTAGTATACGACACTCCAGTAGTGTACATCTAAAACAGAGATAGAACTGCGGAGCTTCAGACCTTTCAGCTAATATTTAATCTACATGAGATTGAGTTTGAATTCATTGACTTAAATTTCTAATACTGATCATTCAATCAGTGAAGTAATATAATCATCGTCCATCACCATAGGTGATGATATTTGTTTGACCTCCAGCATAATTATTCTCTAATGGTTATAAATTCTCAATAGAACTCTGAGAAAATTACTTTTTGAAGTTGATCACTAGTAAGTAAATGATGGTTATTTTTAGCATACAGGGTTGTGGGTACTGTTAGCTTTTCAGGTTACATTATGGATTAACTTTGCTTAGTTAGCACTAGGAAACCAGGCGGCACTAAACAGCTATCATTCTGTGATACGACCGTAAAATTCAAAAATTTTCTTGAGCTTCTCGTCTCTAAATTAACTACTAAGGTTTTATCATTATTATTATCATTATTTTTCCGTTTATGTTTGGATCTATGTTGGAAGTGGGCTGAGCACTTTTTAGTGATATCAGTTGAAATTTTGTTCACCTATGCTCTTACCGCTACGAAAAAATTTAAACTTACTGAAACCGACTACACGTGTTATATAAAGTATATTCCAAATCTCTCATTTACTTTTTATCAATGTTATCAAAATAAAAACTGTACAGACTGAAAAAAAACCAAATCATCATTTATGCTTTATTTTCAATTTCTTCCAATACTACTGATATGATTGATTTAGTGTTTGTTCATTAATAGTTGCTGATCAATAATATTGAGTTTCTGTTTTCATAGTTTGGATTGTGTTCTGATTTCAAGTAGATAATAAATTAGACACAATATTTAGGACCACATTTCATGAATTTTTCTCCTTTAAAGCCACGCTTACCGAAATTAAAGTTATCATATGTATAACCTAATTGTATTGTATTTACAAACATGTGTAAGTGTTTAATTGTAGGAATAAAGCCAACCAAATTGCATTCACGACAGTTCCCGAGTTCAACTCCATGATTTGGATACTCTGTCGGACGTGGACGATTATACATAAACCATAACTGTTGTTAAAAAAAAAAGAAAATAAGCACACAAGAAAAATTTAACATAATTTATCAAACATTGTATTGAAAAGTACAATAAATTCTTGAAAACGAAACTTGATTCAGTTGATTTCTTAACAATGTATTCAAAGTAGCTGGATATGAAACCGTTTCACTTGTAACAAAGTGTTTTGAATTTGGACTTTCAGACAAACTTAATTATTTTAAATTAAATTGACAGGCATGAAGTATGAAGATAATTTTAAGTAGGAACTGATCATATGTTGAGAATTATTAAAAATCAAAGATCACAGAAATGTTGTTTCCTCTTATTTATCTAGCCATCAATAATGTGGACTTATGAACTCCATGGCTTTGCTGTGATCATGAAATCATTTAGACAAATTGAAGCAGCATCAAACGATTCACGTTACTATCTCAATAATATAGTGTTACTATAATCTAATATTGTCTTTGTATTACTGTCTTACCTTTAACCTGGTTCATACTATTAGGATTCAATATGCGTTTTCATCATTTAAGTGACAAAGTAAATTTATACTTTATGAACGTCATTTGTCTTTTTATTTATACAAAACATCTGTTCATCAATTTTATAAAGTATCTGGGAAATCGTGATAGATTGGCTAACTTTTTATTGTCATTGGAAATCATGTCACAATAAATGGAACTGATTTCCTCCAGTGGTGATTAGCAGTAGCCACTTCATAGTTAACATTTTAAAAAAATGTTCAAAATAAACTATTTGAGAAATGGTAAAACAATTCAATGCATATATAACTGACTGAAATTCATTGTCTTTAAAGATTAAAGTATTCTTAAAATATCATTTCAAGTTGATTAGTGTCATTTTATTGATTTGATCATTTATTCAAGTTTGAATATCTATCTACATTGGTTATGTTATATCTTCATATAAATGTCTAGAAGATTCTAATCCACTGAACGAAGATAATCTTGCTCAGATTATTTAAACAAATCACAAAACTATTTCTCTTGAATTCTATGATCAGATTTTTATGTATATGAAGTTGTTTGACGATGAAAAAAAAAACATCAACCAATGATTGCACAATTAAATTACACACATCTTGAATTTTCAACAGAACCAATGGAATGTGGTTAGTTAGTAGAATCCACAACGAGAGTTTCATTCTCTATTCGACATTTATCAATTGAATGGATAATTCGAATTGTTACAAAAACTGAATTGATTTTATCTTGAACATTTTTGGTTGCTGTTTTATAGTGAAACAAATTCATTATTCATCAGTAATATTTTTGACAATTACTAAATATGTAAGTAGTGGTTACCTAATAACATGATTCTAATGTTTTTTTCGTAAAAAAACTATAGTTCACTATATCATCACTTGAGGTTATTGTTCCCCAACAATTTATGAATAGATTGTACATGAATAAAAGAAAAGTCAATGATAATTATTCAAACAATGAAATATTTAACATATAAGCTAATGAAACATGAATTAACCTACTTGGAATATTCTATCTATTTGTGTGTGATGTACTAAGAAGAGAGGATCATTGGCTGAAGTTGATGCACAACAAAATGTACCAGTCACCATATTATGCACTTTATTATGCATAAATGAATAAGTTGAATTAGCACCAGGTACAGAACAAGATCCTTCAATAGCTTGATGAAAACCACGACATTTACCATAATCTTGTTCCACTTGAGGCAAGTAATATCTATCAATAGATAAAATAGGTTTCTTTTGTAAAAAAAAAACTTATAAAGGAACCACAAAATGTTCAAAAGAAAGTTTAATTTATCATTATTCATAAGGCTTCAGTTTATTCTGTCAGGTAAAATCATGTGATATGGTCAACATAAATTTAGATTGTCCATTTTCTAGGAAATTCGCATTTTTTTTGTTTCTCCCATTCCTGTTATATATTATTAATCACTTAATTATCTTTTAAATTAATTAATTTAGTATAGTAATAATATGACCTATTAAAAGACAATAGATTGCTAACACGACAGATTTTGCAGTTATCCAAACTACAACTTAAACCATGAAGGTCTAGTACAAACTTTGTAAACTTTGATAAATTATAATAGTATCACATATATTTTGAATCATTAAAAGATATAGGAAAGGATTTGATAAATAAAGTGGGAAAATTTGACAGGCAACTGATTTTAGTTATTTTAAAGTCATATTACACATACAGTTAGTGTCTTGTGATTAAGACAAGTAGATATGCAATAGAAGTGATGTTTGAATTTAATTAACGTGAATAAAAAGTACATTAAGCAAGTATATAGAATTTATGGAAACTATGTACTATCTTCATACATAGAATGTCAATGTAAAAATAAAAATTTTGTACATTTATTCATTTGATTTTTCACGTAAAGACTATGAGTGGATCTGAAATAATTACTTCAACATATTACTGATGAGATAAGAAAAAAAAGAACTTGATTTGTATTAAAATACGTACGGTAAGATTCACTTGAACCATAATATAGACACTTATTCTAATGAATTTGTGTATCTAACCAACATATCATCATACTATAATGTGTCTCAATATGCTACATTTTGATCGAATAATACTGGGTCGTATTCCTTTGTAAAATATTAAGGCCTTAATTTTTGAATTCGTAAAATAAAATTTTTTTTCAAATGAAACCGTTTGATATTAGTTAATTATCATAGTATATGGGAGATATATCACAATGTTTGAAATATTGTCTATTTTATAGATAGAATTCAAACTTGAAGTGTTCCTACAATGAAAAACTAAACGAATTTAGATCTAACTTATTTTTTGTACAGAGGCAATCTGCAGAAAAAGTAAATGTTCGGTTAAACTCGTGCAAGTGACTTCTAGTTATGCTATCGACCAGTAATTAAGAGAGCTTAGATACTTTTTTTTCAACCATTCTGTGGTACGTTGAGATCCACAGTATATCCGTTTAAGTTTTAGCAACACAGTTGTTATTGGAATGGTCTATAAACACTAGCTATTGTACGTATATAATTATGTTTCTGGCAATTAATGCTATTATTATTATTATTATTAAATAATGTCACTTATCAAATTACTGTTTTTGATTCTTGTTTCAGCGATCCTCTTCTCAAGTATTGCAACCAACCAAGTAGTGGAATTTGAATTTACTTTGCTTATTTCTTATTTTAGTTCTATGAAATCAAACATTTTTTTTGTACTCATTTTGTTAGTCATGTTGTTGTCTCATTATCTAATTCATTGCACAGGTATATACTCAACATAATAACCAAAGAGAATCAGTGCATAATTAAAATTAAGCTCAGTTTTGTTTTTACATTCATCTGCTTGGTAATCAGATACACAAAACTGTTCGCTGCTTAAAACTATTTGTGTAAAATTTACTCTCCATTCATAGCTGTGTATGGAATTGATTAAATTTAGTGTTATTTACTCAAATAAAGATTTTGCAGAAAAGATTTTTTTAAAATTACATGAAAAGTAAAGTCGATTTGTCATTGTAATCTTTTACAGTATTATGTTTTGATTGTGGTGTGGTGTTTATATAGTCACAATGAAATCAACGCTTTATAATGATGTAAAATAACTTACGATTTTTTTGAAAGAGTGAACAAAAGGTGATCGGTTGTTGGAAACATTGTGGCTTCAAAGTATCTTGTCAGTACTCGAAAGTTTGGCCAAGCAGCATGACAGCTATAACAATTACTTCCGCTAGTCGGAGGAGAACAGTATTCAGGCCACATGTAAAATGGACTTCTAGGGTCTATTAAACGACTTTCCCCAACCCATTGCCCATAACCACCTAATAAACTATTGATACAAACATCACATTTTGTAGAATCAACCCAATCCCAATAGGGTAACGTGAAATCTGTCCAACCATACAACTTAATTGCTATTTTACGTAGTTGTCTTTCCCAAAACAGCATATAATATCTGTGCCAAGTTAAAAATCCAACTGACTCATGATTACTGTTAATTTGATTACTTCTTACACAATCTTTGATATTATGAAACAATGTAGCTCTGCTAGCATAACGATGTATAAAAGTGAATAAGTATTGTACATCCACATCTAAAAATTTAGGTTTCCATAATGGATCAGAATGTATAGCTTCTTTTTCAAACAATATTAGATAATCAGTTGGAGTAGTAAGCATTTTTGTCACAACATTAACAAACATTTTTCTTTTAATTGGAGATAATGACATGATATTACGTCTAACATATTGTTTACGTTTATTACAAAATGGTCCTTCCCAACCGTACCAACATTCATTACATGCAATTCCGAAATAATGATCTTCACATTTACAGAAATAACTAAAAAATCTTGATGGCCAATTCATTCTATCATCCATGATCAAATAAAACGGTATATTTTCGACTTGAGTGTATTCCATTTGACATGTTCCACGACCAGGACCACCGCATGGATATTTTGAACCTTTAGGTATTGGACAACAGATTCCACTTCCACCAGTTGCTGTAATATTACGAACACATGCTTTGGGAATGAGACATTCCACACATGTGATAATTAAAATAATAACAATCCATATGCTTTCTGATAAATGTTGAATATGTTGCATTATGATATTGATTTTATATGATACAATGATTAATTGAAACTGATGACTGAAGTAATTTTTTGTAAATACTGCTCACATTAAATAAGCTCATAAAAAGTGAAGTGTATAATTTTACCCTATCAAGATATAACTTAGTACAGATGGACAAATGTAATCAAATGAGCAGATTCACTAATATATGGGGTTATGATTTTATATGTATTTTTTCAACTCTTGTATTACGTGCTTTAGTGACTACATGTTCGACATAATTATACAACATTATTTGCATTCAGAGTGCTCATATAGATTAGGAATATTAATCCTTAGTCGATCGATAACTGGCTGAGCAACATACAACTCATATTAAACCATATGACGAAATTATCGATGAAAAATTTATTATATAATGTAAAATAAATATATAACTACGTTAAACAAAAGAAAATCAACACTGTTGTTTATTGTGTTCTCTGAACTAGATTATTTAATTTAGAAGATTTAATTGTCGCTCTCAACATCATCAATGACTCAACCATGTAGAGGTGAGTTTCTCAGTTATCCCATAATTGGTAAATCAGTTCGTCCTGATAACCTTGACTGTGATTGACAGTCGATAAATCTGATAAATGAACTCAGGATCTGAATTCTTATCTGTTCCTAATAACCTCAGATTAGATCTATACTGAAAATTGAACATAATAGAAAAGGTGTGTTTTATGAGGAGAACACTTTACTCTAAGATTACTTTATGCACAGAAAAATGAGGATATTTATAGAGTTACGCTTGATCTTAGGCTTCTGGAAGTCTCGTGAACCGTACCAAATATAGTAGCGGTATAGCTAAACATCCAGTCAGGGTTGTGGCACGTGATCCTGAAACTCTCAGGTGTTTCTGGGAAGCTTCTATTTAATGCTGATTAGCGTTTCTAGGCTCCTATAAACTAACTTGAAAAATATTATGACTTTCTCTTATAACTGTAAATATAAACCATAAATTGTATATACCATTTATAACTATATGTATACTACTTATAAGGTCTATTGTAAGTAGTACACACTACATTAGCATAGTAATTTATTTGAAAATATAGACTATATTTAACAAATAAATTTGTTCGTATAATTTCAAAATTAATTTTAACAATAATGTCCAACTTTCAGTTCGTGTTTTTAGATAGCAGATCATCACTCTGAGTTTGGACAACAACTTCAATAAACTTTAACACTCTAAAGTTTGTCTTTTTTCTGAATAATGAGAAAGTATGAAAACCGTAATACAATACTGTCACTTTGTATTCTCCTCTTTTTTCATGATACACTAGTAACATAGAGTTTAAATAGATGCAGCTAAATTCGTTATGCTGATAGTGATACTGAACAAAGAATCATTAAAAGGCAGTTGTCATCATAAACTGATTAATGTGGAAATAAATCTCATGAATTTACAGAGAGAAATCTTTAATCATGAAGACGATTATGTAATAAGCTTCCGGAACGGCACAGTAGTAATGTCTCGAACTGTGAAACCAAGTGACCTGCAATCGAATCCTAAAAGGAGAACCAATTATCGTGAAGTTGCAGGTGCACTGTGTTGAAGTGTGCCAAATAATATGAAATCTAGACCCAGAGTGTTCTAATGACTATCGCTTACCATCTGTCATCTTAGCCTAGTGCACACGATGATGAACAGTTTATACTAATCGTCACATTTCGACTTAATCTATAGAATTCAATTAGCAACAAAGGGTTAGACAAACGCGATAATGATCACTATTTATTGATCAGTTAAATATAAATAATTTAGACTATGACTTATGGAGCAAACTGAATAAGGATTACACTTTATCATGAATTGAAAATCTGGATTAGTTAAAACTGGCTTAATAAAAAAGTTGTTCAAAATGGAGTGAAGTTGATTGTTTGACTAATTGCATGTGATAAACAGGCCATGAATGTTTGGAGTTTGAAGTAGGAGGATGAGATTTGTCTCGGAATAAGATATTATCTAATACATAGTGGATTAACAATAAATTATCGATTATTATCTATGTATAACGATATATATATATATATATATATATATATATATATATTGAGAACGAAACGCCACCACAATCATCAACCTGAGCTACAAATTTTGTCCGCCATTGAAGTTCACCTTCGTATAATGCTGTCATATGAGTAAGGGCCTGTAATGATAATGTTATATCATTTATTCACCTTGTGAAGCACAAACTGAATTCTACACTCAAGTGAAGTTCAAGCAGACATGTAGTAATATTGACTATGGATAACGTTCACTGAATATCTCCTTAAATCGGACCAAAGTGAAATAATTCAGATATTAATGAAAATAATTATAAATATAAAATAGACTGACTGTCACTAATTATTGTGATTTCGATTAGTGAATAGTATATTTAACATTGTTTTGTGTTCAGCTAATCACCTTAACAATCAGGATGATGTTTACTGTTAACTAAAGCTTATATATTCTGTAGTTATTCGTTGACATTCATCGCCAACTCTTTCTATCAGTGATGAATCATGACAAATATAAATGACTGCAGACGTGATATCAGAGTTCACAGTATTGGCTGATCCACATCACCTATCAATGCATGAACAATAGATTTCTTAATGTAAATTATTCTAGTGAGCAAGAAAATATTACTTAAACACACTTGAAAGAAAATAATCCTTAGATACATAAATAATTTCTTCATGTTAAAAAACAATTGTTATACTCGTCACCTGATATGCTTGGAACTATTACGAGTTCACCTTAGTCGATAAACGAGAACAAAATAATGAACTAGTGGCAGTAGGCTATTCTAATCCGTTGTCCCCGGTCCGGCTAACAACATCAATAAGTCTAGATATGGAGGAGAAAGTGTATTTTACAAACAGGCAGCAAATAAAATGAATCAAGCACACAAATCGAGTTTATTTAACATCATAAAGACGTCCTTAGGAGAGTCACAAAATAGCACACTAAAATAACACAGCAACCAATCACAGCCAAGGATTCTCCTGGTGGAAAATGTGATTTCAAGGCCAACTGATCAACCCATGAATAAAATCCAGAATTAGGACGTTTATCGAGCGAGTTATGAGGATCTAACGTCCCCAACAAAAATAATTGGGATTTTCAAATTTATTTATCAGCTGCTTCTTATACTTTACTGAATCGGTTTTCAACAAGAAAAAAATGATCCAGGTTGAAAGTATGAACCATTGAGTTTCATTTCAGCGTTATAAAGGTAGAAACCTCCTATGCGAAGTAAGGGTCTGGAATTCGGTCTACGGTAGGGTCATGAGTATAAAACAGGCACATAATGTCGACGGATAACACGTGAATTCATCGATTTTATTAGATTACAAATAACATTTGTATCTGGGCAGTTTTCGGGATTTTTATCTAGTGAGAAAACTGTTTTTCTATACAAGCAAGTATTCTTCGGTAATTAATGAAATTATGTATGATATGGATGCGCACTGTTGATGAGTCCCATACCAGGACGAAACGACAGTCCAGTGCTTCCAGATTTCTAATGGTGGTCTAACATTGATCGATTCATGGTTTCAAAATGTGTAATAAATAAAAGACTATTCAGTGTAGTGAAATTAAAAAAAAATCTAACTGATATACGGTGAAATTAAAGTTCACAGTTGTAATAAAAACTAACAGATTTCATTAGGCCCTCATTTTATGTCGGAGTCGAATACTGAAAGTATTGACAACTAATAAAATGTTGGAAACACAGATAAAGTATTTTCATTTTTCTTTTAATTATGGAACAACATGAATACGCATACACTTCATTATTTTTCATAAAAAAATCTCACTAATTGTTGATTCACTGATTAGCTTTAGGACATTTTCCTTTAATTCACTTTGTATACACTAGAAAATCAGCTGCATCCTAATTACCCTTATTTATATACTTGCACCAACTGTATATAAAGCTGATTGTTTTTCTATCTATAAGTAATGTAACAGATAGTAAAGTATATCAGAAAAATAGTGACATGATTTCATAAGACAGATGTATTATGATAAACTTGTAGACAGCTGAAATTCCAACTATCAAAATCTACGATAATTGGGTAACACATTCTAGATTTGATTGCGAAAAGTTTCAAGTATAAAAGAGTACGAATAGAAAGAAGTGTTACAGCTCTACACAACTTTCTTTTATTTGATCATTTACTACATTACATTTATTTGCTTAAACGAATTCAACATTTGAAATGACAGATTTTTATTTCAATAACAATTATTACGAACTTTCAATTTAAATATGATTGGTAGATATTATTGATGAAAATTTATTATACTCATCGTCGAATCAATCTGGCTAGAAAATTTCAAAAAAAAAGAGACAAATAAAATCGGTCACACAAATCACAGTTAAGTTAACAACGAATGAAGAAGAGAAAAATTGATGATAACCAACTCCTAAAATTATTCTCTACTCTAAAAATCAATCTCAAACATTTTATGAATACTAAAGGATAGTTAACTAATTTGTTGTATTATTGATTTTGTGAAATTTTTTTTAACTCGGTTACATTAATATACCTACTTTATTCCTCATTCTTCTTACAGGAGGTCCCCTATTCAACCAAAAACCACTTTTATTAATTATGCACATATATTCCAGCTACTTTTGTCTACTAATTGTTGTGAAACGATTGGATTCCTAGATAACATTGAACGTTATTCTATGTCATATAGTGATTGTTATAATACATACATCTACATGTTTAATTGTTCTCGTTCTATAATTCTCGGTGGGAGTTAAGTCAATCAGAGCTGTACTCATGTTCATGAAACATCTTCAAACTAGTTTTTACTAAGCTAATTATTTTTTAAAAATGTTAGCCATTTGCATTCACTCGAATTCCAACTGGTTGAACAGAAAGACCTCCATTTTTATAGTGAAGAATTCAAAAGTTTAATGTTTTGTATTTTCTTGTATCTTCGCTCCAACCAGCCAAATCTATACTTACCAAGTTGTAGTTATAATTAGCTTTATTAGACAAAAGCTTGTGTATTTGAATGAATATTAAAAAGTCCATACAATTAACCTTGAGTCTTGTCCATAACTAACAAATATTCTGAAAATCACATACATAGTTAATCATGTGAAACTATTTTTGAAGGCCATCAGCTGAAGTAGCATGTCTGTACAATTGATAAGCCAATCAAAGATAGACATATCACATGATATTTTAAGGCTTAAGAGTGAGGCAAAAGTGTGAATAAGCTATACCTGAGTAAGTAGATTATTCATCTACCCAAGGTCGCTATCTATACATGTCGTTATCTAGGTTAGTATGTCTACTTGAAAATCATTCATAAGCAGTAAAGATTATTACTCGACTTTTGCGAACGGAGTCTTTCCTGTAAGCTGTTTTCATTTAAACGACCACTGACCAAAATTATATGAGTGACTAGATAAAACCATCAATTAAAATACCAGTATCAAATAACAGAATTCACTTGATTTCGTTTTCGTGAAATAAATCTTAAATCTCATCACACTCAACACTGATTGAAGAAACGTTCTCAAACCAATCTCCCTGACTGAGAATCAATTATAGTCTCATCCTTTTCAGAGATACTGTCTCTCTAAAAGTCACAATCCAAATACCAGTTTCCTTGATGAGTATGAATAGTCCTCTACTATTACCTATTGTCGCTGTCTTTTCCATCTCTCTTGCCTTCGATACTCACCACTCTTCGCGATCATTATCCTATTTGACACAAGGTTCGAACGTTAAAAGCTCCAATACGTAGTTTAGATAGTTGTTTCAATATACAAGAAGTAACATTAGCACTAACGGTGTGAGGTGAAATAGGTATATGAGAAGAGTTAGTTATAGGAATAAGAGAGTTATTAAAAGGTGGGGTAATGATTTTGTCATGAACAAGTTGATCTCCCATAACGTGGGAGGATATTTCTAAGGAATCTAAAGAGGAACTCGGGCTGCTGTTAGTTTTAGTGAACTGGGAACGTAAATTAGAGTAAAAATGACAACTGCTTGAGGCCGGTTGCGCACGGCGTCTTTATGGGGGATCCAAGCGGTAAGATGGGGTGTGAGATTTTTAGGGTCGGCCCATTGTTAACCGCTTTATTCCTTGCGAGGAGGTGGTATCGTTGCAGACCCTGATTGTCACATCCCTCTAAAGTCAGCTGTCCGACTCCGCCCTCAGACCTCAAATTGCTGATTGGGGCCTTACCGTCCTCTAATCGGCCTGTCTGGCATGGTAGAACCTAAAGGAACAGGTGTTCCAGCCAATATAGGTAAGCCCGATCACCACATCAAGTTATCACCTTTATGTAGGCTTATAGTTTACTGATAACTAAAATGTCTTTTGAATCATGTACTGGGTAAAAAGTACAGTATTTGGATGAATTTAAAACAACCACCCAGAAAATTGGCTTTTTTGAGCTAATTGTTTTTAGGAAAGAAAACAATGATACTAAAAAATGTAAACAGATTCCGCACACTCAATGAATTCTGCAATCTCTTCTACAGGTTATTCTGCTTATAAATTGAAACAAAAAACATGAATCTGATCTTTCTTTAATCTTGAAGAGGACTACAATAGAATTTTAAGATATGCTACAGTTTTAGTAGTTAGGGTCAGATGGTTCATCCATTGGGTTTTTGTCACAAACTGATGGAAGGTATAATGCAAAAACTGTTTGTAGCTAAAATTTCGTGCTAATATGTCCGACTTGCTCTTTTATCGCCCTTTTATTATACATTGCAATTAACTATGGATTTAACGACTAGTTATTGAGATTATAATAACATTACTAGTATTACTGTTAATGTGATTTTCAGGCTATCAAAAATTAATATATGAGACCAACATGTTTAGTTTCAACATCAGGATTGATACTTATATATATAGCATGACGAAATCACCATCATCATCACAGTTTTTAATTCACCGGGAAATCGCTTATTAGTGATACATGTTGACAAATGATATTTGAATATGTACAGAAGTATTGAGAATATTATTGCAAAGAGTAAAACAGTAATTTGAAAAACTACTTTCCGGCAAAATTCTTGTAATCTGAGTGTTTTATGTAGTAATCACTACATGACTAACACGAAATATTTAGGTAGATTGTTCACCGTGAAAGTACTTTTGGAGCATAAACCAATTGTAGTAGAGCACCAATCCGGACAAAGCTCTTATTCTTTTTGCAAGAACAAACGACTTATTTAGTGAGAATCCTTAACATTCAATTAGAAAGATGTAACGGATGAAATTTCTCTGTCCAGTATATGACACACATTACAAATGGTGATGGATGATGAGAATGGTGAGAAAATCTACCATTTTCAGTACTGACATTATGTCCTCTCATATAGAAATTAAGATCAACATATAAGATCATGTGTTACCAAAAAAAGTGACTGATCAACTATAAATCATGAGTATTAAGAAACAATAATAACAACAATACATAAAATACAAACTATTCATATAAATAATAAACATCAATTTAGGATTATTTCAGACAAGTTAAAGATATTGCAGACAAAACAATTCAGTAACAAAACACTGACGCATAATCATCACCATTAACACATGACTAGCGTATTATCAATTTTTTTTTCTCATTTGAAAATAGTCACTTAGCCAAATTCAGTTTATTTATTCTATTTAATTACAATATGTAAACAGTTTGAATTAAATTTTAATGAAATAGTTTAAATGAATAAATAACCAAATCATTATTCACGGGTATAAATGTAGTTAATGCCATTCATACAATAAATGAAACACTTTAGCTATTATTATTATTATCATTTTCATAATATTGTACGTAGTTGGCGCTCTTTTGTTATTTGTTTAATCGAATTAATTAATTAATTAATGATCTACATCTAAGTGTAACTGATAAAATAATTTTGCAGTGCGATCTATCATATATTGACTTATTAAGTGCGTTAGTAAAAATTTTGTCTTCTAAATTTAGTAACTACAAAAACAAACAACGAAATTTAGTAGTGCACATAAAAATAGCTAATTATTTTTTTGAAAAAAAAAGACGAGTGAATGTTCATCATACTTATGGTGCAACAAACTGATGTCTCAGAATGAGATTAAGCCAATAACATTTAGAATGTGTTTAGTTGAAGATAAGAAGAACAACAACACTGGACAATAATAGTTTCAAAATATGAGATGGATATCCCATATCTTAATCATGCACAACTTGTTTCGACAAGAGACTAACATTTCTGAGCATTAGCCATAACGATAAAGTGAATAGGATTATTTTCAAGATCTTAGGCTCCGCATGAATTTAGCTTTAAACTGAAGCCCGAAAAAAGGATACAAAATATTCAGTCTGTGTAGATCTATGATAATGACTTGAAGGCATATTAAACAGCTTTCATTCTCTTAGTCCTCGGTAACGATCTGATATGTGCACTAGTAGTGGCCATCTGCTCAGTGCTCTAGTTCTGCGCCTTTAATACAGTATTATCCTATTTAAAGGTATTTCGTTTGGACAAACTTTTTCTTTGCTAATTTCCATAAATATACTATTTTCAAATTATCAGCTATTTGAGCTTATCCAACTGTATTGATTTTTCATTACTTGTTTAGATTAACTTGTTGAAAGTTAATCAATTGATGTAATCTTGTCATTGTTGAATAGAGTAATTGAAGAAAGTAATTTCTTTAATAGATTAAGTAATGTTAGATATGTGAATAAATTAGTTTGCAAGCAGAATATTTATTATTAATTATAAAGTGATAAATAAATAATCTGGGTTTGTAATCATTTAGAAAACGATAAGTGACATTTGAAATATATTTGTAGTTTATTAACGAATCGTTCTATAGAAAGTGACTAATACTGCAATATTTGTTTCTGCTTTAACTAAGAGTGATTTGAATATTTATCGTACCAATAAAATGATTAGTAGATTCATGGTTAGAGTATTGTAGGAAGAATAGATAATTGAATTATGATGTTTAATCGTCAACAAGTAATTTTTGTAGTGTTACTTACTAGCTAGGAAATAATGCAGCAGACAGACAGACAGATACAACGCAGAACTTCGTACGTAAGTACATCAGTTCAGGTTGCCATACCACATCAACAGTGAGACGCAACTGTTAGTTCAAACCCAAGAGTGATAACGATAGTAGAAGTATTAGCAGTAATGGAGAAGATTAGGGAGCGAAGAAATGATTCGGGAAGTATAATTCAGTGAGATAAATTTAGAAAGAGACAAAAAGAGATGATAAGGAATTAAGGTTAGAATTCAAGAGAACAGCGAATGAATACACCTTTGCCATTGCAAACGATTCAGATCCATGTCGTTCAAGGTCTCTAACCATCGGTGACTTTCGTCTCGCAGACCCCAACCAGGTAGACTACATCTACCAACATGACTCAGTCAATAATGCAGCCAAGTTTTGTGATATAATGATAACTTTTAAAATCTAAGTATATATTTATATTTAGGTATAAGACAAATGTGAAAATTTATGGTCTGATATGTAATGAAAAACAATATAACCAAGACGAAATAGCATAAAAACAAGTCTCATTACGATTATCCATAAAAAGTGATCAAAAGACCAGTGAAATCATTTTCCTGTTTTGTATTTACATAAATCTCGTATTTTGAAATAAACAATGATTGGACACATAACCAATGTCATCATTTGAAAATAACTTTTGTACATGGCATCATTGAAGATGTGGCTACACTGTACACAAGAAAATTTTACTAATTTTATTATTGATAGAATATTGTTTAGTTAACAGGCCAATTTTTGTAGTAGCTCAAAACAATTTGTCCCAGCATAATGAACTATACGACCAGCAACTAAACTTGCCGAAGGAGAGACTAGATTGTCCACAGAATCTGTACAATGGTAGAAAATAACAGTGAAATCATGACATAGAATAATTTATGCAAACAATTTACATAGATTTCAAATAATAATAATAATAATAATTTGTGCTGAAAAAAACACTTAACAGTTTCTTTTTAAACTATAAACAAACCATTATGTAGATGAATTCATGAAGGTAATAAACAAAAGTGGGATATCATGAAAATCACTTGAGGCAGAATATTCACATCTTAATCGATGAAGCAGGATGATACAAGTTTGAAATTTATCAAGAGCATCAATTCCCCTTAAGATAGCAAATGTGTCCTAATGACACAAGTGCAAACCAGCATGAAACCCTAGATCCAAGAATTTCTGTTGCCTACCTTTTAAGTATATAGGATCGTGTGTGTCAAATTTATAAGCTTATTCATGCTACATCAATAAAAGTTGTCCAAAATGTCATACAGGAATAAGTGAATTACTGTATTTTATTCAAATAAAGTGAACTAACACATTGATGAATTTAAACACTTTAGTTTTCTAGGAAAATATTGTCTTTCTCTATCTAACATGAAATACAGTTTCGTAAAATCCTAAATGAAACGAAACTGTAATAACATTTCAGCTAGAACGTAATTTATTTTTATGAGATAACAGTTGAAAAACTTGTACAGAAATAATGATTAATTTTAATGGAAAATACACAAATGATATCTGGTTAAATTTTCAGTAGTCTTCTTCCGACTTTAACATAATGACCGATTATATAGCAGGTGATATCTTCAGAAACTTTTGTCAAGATTTGGCTTAATTCAACCTTGTCTCACCGATTTTTTTAATACGTCTATAAGAGTGAAGCCAATTAGTCAGTGATAAGTAACGTGGAAGCTGATATATATATATATATATATATATATATTATGGCCGTTGCGTCACATCAGGATAAAAATCCTTTTTATTCTTCAAATTCATTTGAACTAACCCCTGTTTAGAAGGAAATTTTTGAACAGAATACTTCTTTTGCTTTAATCAGTTACTTGGTTAAAATCAGAAAAGCTAATCATCAGTGTCTCATTTGTACCATATAAGTCAAACAAGAAGAGTATAATATATTAAATGAATGGTTGAAAATTGGGGTTCTATAAAATACTATTCAGCATGATAGTTACACAGAGAGAGAGAGAAACAAATAGAACAGTATAGAACTACCATTTTGTAATGAATTTTTTAACACAGTTGCAACTGTCTCGAAAGTCATCTGTTGAAGCGGTGATGGATGTGAACTCATTGAACGTCTATTAAACGCATGATAAACGCCATATTTCGTTAGATAGTCGGCAATCAATGATAAATGTCGAGAATTCACATGAATTCCATAATGACCAAATACTCCAGATACTTCCTGTGGAAAAAAAATTGCATAGTTATAAATCTTGACTAGTGCTTCAATTTTTAAATTAATAACATTAGGAAAACTCAAAATTTTGAATTCACTTACGGAACACTGTCTACTTTACATACACCATTGTGTGATAGCTAACAAATTTTTTTCTAGTTACTTAATCCAAAGTAGTTTGAGGTTGATTCAAACCTGAGGGTCTACTGATTGAAAGATAAGTAGTCAAATTACGAAAAAAACTACCATTTTAACATTTATTAATAAACAATTAAGCTATCTTAACGAAAAAATGATATGATCACTTATCTAAAACAGGATTTCATAACAGATATATATAAAAAAAGAGCAGAGCAGAAACATTGATAGCCAAAAGAAATTAGCAATATAACACAGCAGTTATTGTTATTGAGAAAAGTTAATAATAATAATAATAATAATAATAATACAGTGACACATACTCTTTGAAGTGCTGCTCGAGCAGCTTCAATACCATATGTTTCATTCATCACAACAATGTTGTTAGTATAGAGACGACTTAAGTCAAATACTTGTGGATAGCGCATCATTTCCTGCAGATACAAGCAGAGAAAGGAAAAAGGGAATAGCAATACATTACTGTTCATTATCAAAATATTTGACAAAAGCTTATATGTAATCAATCACAAGGCTAATTCAATGAAGATACTTGAAATAATATAATACACTATATCAAGGGCATTTCATAGTTGGAGAGATTTGTGATTATTTTGTCCAAAAGATGTCGGAATTCTGAGAGTGGAACTTCAGCAGAAACTCTTAAACACTAAATACTCAACCAACTTAAAGTTAAAAATAATCGAAGGTTCCCAGATGATGTTTATTTATCGTCAATAGATTGTTATTGACATTTACGGACGTGGTTTAATGAATACATGAATGGACGCCATGAAGATCACTAGCGCAAATGGCTTATTTTCATGGCGATATTTTGCACACGAAGAAACAATGCCAATAAGATTCATTTCATATATGCGCCATTTTATGTTTTCTTTTAGCAATGACAGCAGTAGTTTCATGAAGATACTGGACATTTTAGCTTTTGCCACACACTAAAAACTAGTAGTTTCTATACAAAATATTGATTCATCACTGTTCCAGTGCTTTGTTTCTCTTCCTTCAAGCTGTAAATTGGACAGAGTTTTTCAAATCACATTCTTATTGAGAGTTCAAATTTTCGAAAAAAATTTCACTGTAAATATGTGTTTGAAAACGTCAGTGTTAGTCATCAGATACTTGCTTTAAGTTCAGATCGACATTAACAGAGAAGATGAAGCAACATGATTAAAAAAATCAATTGTGAAAAAGACAGCAGTAAACAGTTAACTACAACAGAGTAACATAAAGATATTTTCATTAATGCCAGTTTGAGTATATATGTTATCCCAGATTACTTGTAAGTAGTGTACGAAGAATCATCAAAATACTACTGATTGAAGTTTATCTTAAAACAAGTTGTCATACAAATATCAGTTCGAATGAAATACCATGGATAGATACTATAGTTTTACTATAGCGCCACAGTACAACATAAGCACTTCAAAGCAATGCAGAAACAACTAACACTCTTCGAAACGCTTTAGTTCGTATAAAAGATTACATATCTTGAATGTCAACAAAATTGATGTAAAGCTACTTGATATTTCAAAGTATATAAAAGCTATTTACTAGGCTAACTGGCAGTCATAAATATTCACATATTTAATAAGAATTTTATGGAACTTACAATCATGTTTATACCTTCAACTCGGAACATCCATTGATTCGGTTTTGAACGATCAATAATGATCTTTTCAATACCAGATACAGAGGATACAACACCTCGATTAATAAGGCGCATAATTAATGTTTCCAAGTCAATTGATATACGTCCTTCATTTGGATCGAACATCTGGTAATAAATCATGATATATTATATAATCACATGGAAGAATATAACAAAGCTTTAAAAAAAAACAATAGTTTAATTTAAAACTGTTTCTTTTTTTAAAAAAATTATAGTAGGTTGTGTAAGAGTGACCAATTCAGAGTAAGACATGAAAGATAAAAACAATCATAGGTTTGCATATTTTATGCCAAAACTTTTCTAGTGTACGAATAGTAACAATAATCATTATCATTGTTACTTGTTATATTTTCTAACCAAACAATGTATTAAGGTATCGCTTTATTCAAGCATGACAATGATAAAAATTTGTGAAACGTCAAATAGAATGCACGCTTATGATCTTTCATTGATTTTTAGTCAGTTCTTTCATTATTTAAGAGAAAACACCTCCAGTAGATATGTTCAATTCAATTTTGCTAAATAATGACAATTTTGTTTGGTTTTTCTGTTGTTCATCAAAAACATTCACTTATTATAGATAATAGATAAATAACTCGATAACAAACATCTACTGAATTCTACTTATAAATAGTATATTATAATGAATAACAAATGAAAAGTAAACCAGTAATTAATATTTAACAATGTTTTAATATTTCTGGATGATTTCAAGTTCATTGTTATGACGACTGAGTAACAGTTAAATAGAAAAGGCCAGGTTTAATCATTGTCTAACTACATGAAGGATAGTGTGTGAGCGTCATGAATGTTAATGATCATACTGGCGATTATGAAAGTGAACTAATTGAATGATACATATGGTTTATCAAGAATGTTTAATTTTCAGCTTGTATCATGGATTAAATACAGTTGGATAGTTACTGAAAGCCAAGAAGCATTGGTTATGAGCAGTGAACTATAATGTTCATAGGTGTAAGATAGGTTTCGTCGATAGTGAATACATGTCTCAATTCTGATCGAGTTGCGAGTTCGTACTACTAGGATGGAACATTTGTTTAATGCTTCCTAGTCTGACATATTTATTTACATAAAGTCTGTTTTTTTTGTAATATAAATCATGAATTAGATAGTCTTTAATAACATAGAAGCATAATATACATTAATAAGTATATTTTCAATAAATGAAAGATTATCTCATTAAAATGACCAGAAAATTTTCCTCACATACGCATTAAGTATATTCATTTAATAAAACAAGAAAAACTATAAGTGATCAGGCAACATAAGTTGAATATCAAGCGAATAGTAATAAACTAAAGAGAACTTGACCATACAGGTAAACTTTAAAGAAAAAAAAAGAAATTTTAGACTGTAGGCTTTTGTATAAACAAAACATCAGAAATTTGTTTGAATAAATTGAACAGCACGTGATATGCGCTTCTTTTAAAAAAGGAAAAACGATTTTCAAGTGATGAATATAACTCGTGGAAATGCTCACAAATTGAACATCACTAGTGACAACATTTAAAAGAAGACAGTGTGATTACGACACAACAATAACTTACACAAATTGTTAGGCGTGCCCATTTCGGAGATGCATTTTTCCGGTCGAATTCGTAACCACTAAAACGAGCATGCAAACTAGTAACAAACTAACAATAATAAATAGAGAGAAGGGAGAAAAACACAACGAGAAAGATAATAAAATTATGTAAGTCGAAATTGGGAAATTTATTATGATTAATGTTTTTTTTCTTTCTAAAAAACAGATCATAAAGGCAAGGTAACACATAATATAATGCATACACACACAAACTTTCATACATAATACCGGCAAGATAATGTAAAACTACCGGGATAAAAAGAAAGTTTGATGCGTCAATTAGACACATGTTATAAATAAACAAAAATTACAAATATTAAATGACAGTGATTTCTTCATCGATAAACGACACACAGTATAGATATTTTAAAATTTGATAAAAAGAAAAAATGAATAATGTCAGACATGGTTTAACATGAGGAAATCTTAAGAATCTATATATTGTATATAGTATTTTTCATTTTCACAAATAACATGGTCCTGATAAGAAAGTGTTACTAAATGTTCTGTTATGACTTGAAGTGACTAATATAGGCACTGTAACACATTTACCAAGTACAAATTCGTCTGTTCACAGGGACAATAATACGACAACTCGGATGCCCGAATGGAAATAAGTAAAGGGAGACTTCAGCCTTATGACCTAGTAGTTGGAAGACAAATGCCTTCAGAGCTATCTGGGGATACCTGGCTGACAATCCATGGACCAAGAGGGGTAACAGAGTTAACTAAGCTACCTTACTTGTTTTAAATTGTAATGCATAATAATCATAAATAATAGTAATAACAGTTGGTAAATTCTCGAAATAATATCAACGCAGAGGTACTAATACTTTCAAACAATATAAATGAATTACCGATATACGTTTGTTAGCTTCATCTTGACTAATAGCATTCTCTTGTTCTGTATTACGTTCCATATTTTCTTGAATTAATTCCTGTTCATTCTCTACATCTGACTGATTTGATTCAGGATCTCCAGTCCATTGGACAAATTCATCAGGATTTTCATCTTTTGAATTAGTTACTTTATTGTCTGATCTTAAAGGATTGCTAAGAAGCATTTTTAATTTACTTGATGGAGATGATTCATTCCAAGGCCATTTGCCATTATTATTATTATTATCTTGTTGTTCATCATCACAATCATCTTTTTCATGATCGCGTCCAATTTCATGCAGTTCGGCCACTTCAGCATCGTATTCATCATCTAAATCTAAATCGACCAATTCATCCATATCAGTTCCATTTTTACGACGATTATTATCAGCTCCAGTAATATCTTCCTCTTCAGCATTTGCTTCAAGACGTCGGCGTCTGATAGCCTAGAGATATAAAAAAATGATATCTTGAGAATCAAAGTTTTTATGAAAAAAATTGATATTATTATTATTTTAAAGGAAAGACACTGAGCGAGTAACAATAATCAGTCTAGTTGATGACAAGTTGTGCATATATTATTATAATTATTTTTAGAAATCCTAAAATGTTTACAGTACTGAATATCCACTAAGTCGTTACAACAAGTTCTGTTATTCACTACTGTATTGGGAAGAAAATACAGTTATCAAAAAGAGTACGAGGTTAGATAAGGGTGAGAATTTAAGTTCCCTTAACTCACTAACCAATTGTATAAAATCGAGATTGGGTGGAGCAGGGATCAAACCCAAGGCATAGTAACTGACAGTTGAAGACTTTAACCATTGGGTCACCACCACTGCACTAAGAGTAACAATAAATATCTAATGCAATCATATCAAGTAGAGTATTAGAAACTGGTATATATATATTACTACTTCTACTATCTCTACTACTATGAGATTTGAATTGACAATTGCGTCTTTGTGCTAATGTGGTATGGCAACTTGAACTGATGTATGTATGTACGAAGTTCTACGTTGCAACTAACTGATTAGAATTAATATGATATATTTTGACCTAAAAATACAGTGCGAATGCTGTTTGTATAAGAAGTTTCCTGATGAAGTTTATGGAATAAATAAATAATTACGTAAACAGTTGGTCTCTTCTAATCCCCCCCCAAAAAAAATTCTGATCAAAGTTTAGACAAGGGAATTCTAAGCATATCATAATCAAAGGTTAAAATACCGAGTTAACTAGTACGGACAACAAATTTCAAATCTTGAAAATAAAACAACGCATAAGTTAGATTCCATAATGTATAGGCCTACTTCATATCCATCATCTTCATTCCATTCGTCTTGTGCACGAGTACGACCTATACCTGGTTGATTCACAATATCAGCATCTTCAGCTGGTTCTTCTGAATTTTTATTTTGACCAGCTTGTTGTTGACGAGCCATAGCGGATAAAGCAAAACTTTTTATAAGGCTAAAATATATTAATAAAAAGGTATAAATTTCACATTAATGTAATATTAACATGGATGGAATGATGAAGACATATGTATGAAACATCATTAATAAAAGTACCCGAATGACAGGTATGATGAGTTCAATCAGCGTCCAGTGGAAACCTCTCAGAAATTATTAGAAAAATCTTGTAATAAAGCTTCATGTTACTATTTATCTTTTCTCTACCGTTTAAGGTTGCAGTTTAGGAGAATCTTGAGGATTTGAGAAGTGGCTACGAAGTCATTATCGATTATGTGTGTAGGATACTAATGATAGAAAAAAGGTGGTTAAGGTATCTACGTTTTGTTAAGTAGTTAGCAATAAGTTATAGTAACAATTATTAATTCGTACGCTTATTAAACGTTTAACTTTATCGTTCAAAAAAAATGTTCTAAGCAAAAGTAACATCAATTGTCAACGTAGTACACATATTATTGATAACATTTAAGCTCTTTTTGTTTGATTTAATTTTTATCCCATTTAATGAAAAATCACAATTTCCTACTGGTTTAACAAGATTGTATTCGATTACAAAGGTTGGAATACTATGATCAGAAGTACTGCAACTGTTCATTAGTAATGCACTATTGTACGCTTTGCACACTTCTAGTTCGTCGACAAGATTATTGTTGGCCCTGTGAATTATTTTGCAATTAAGTTGTCCATAGAATGCTTGAAACAATCAACGATTATAGTAACAAGTGTTGTTTAATATGTGCTTTATGCAAATGATATTTTACACAGTCAATCTTGGGTCAATTACAACCATTGTCTAGATAATTAACATTCAAATTTAGTAAAATTAATTGATGAATGTGCTTCATGGACCATTGCGCACTTGATATTTTAATATGAATATAAATATGGTAAGGCATTTTTATAACCGTAAATATAAATATAAGTAAAACAGATTTATAAAACTGCTGATACAGTAAGTTATTTATTTGTTTCCACATTATAAGAATATCACATTGAGAGGAATCCAAAGAGAATAAAAGAAAATATCGACCGGAATATGGACAGGTTAAATTGTGAATCGGCAATAAAAACAAGTCCAAAATAATATGTTGAGTTCATATTGAATGATTTCAGAAACACTATACAGCCAATTGTCACATGTATTACCTGTCATCATATATGATACTGATGATCAAGAATAGTTAAAACAAAACAAAAAACTAAAGCTTCTTGCACAAGTCAAATTCACCGTTAGGTGCAGCGAAGACTTTTATCATGATATCATCATATCAAAGCATACAAATTCAGCTTAGTGTAGTAGAGCAAAAACCTAGTTGTATTGGATTGAAATAAAACATGTTAATACTGTCATTTACTAGTTACGTGCTTTCGAACACAGATACAATTAACAATATCATCCAAAAGCATTGAATAACCAGCAAAATATCCCCCAGTAAAATTCGTTTCATATAAATGATAGAAATGATAGAAATTTATTCAATCATCTATTACAATAAATGACACAATTATGACATAGATTTATCCAGTAACAAGTGTATTTTCAATTCCACTTTTAAAAAGAAAGACAAACAACCAAAAGGTAACACTAGAAATAGATTTACTTTTTAAAGGATATGACAAAGCTTCAATGAAGCATTCATTTAAGTACTTCCACACACACACACACACACACACACACACATATTATATACATATTGAACAAATATAGATTTATAGGACATAATTAATTATCCGAAAAACAGCATATGGAGTAAAATCTGGTTGGAATGATTCACAATTAAATTTAACACTTGGATAGTTTTTTTTCCCTGTAGAAATTTTGAATTACATTTTGAATATCAATCAACAATAAAATAGGCAATTCATGAAAGTTTTGAAAAGCCATAGGCTAAATGTTATTTTATTACACGATGAAATGATTGATTCTTTATCATTTGTCAACATTAAAGATTAGTGTCGCTGAAGTCAACCAACCAACCAACCCATTATGATAAACAGTCCTAATTTCAAGTTTGAACCAACAACAACAAAAAACAATCAGCTTAAACAGACTACTACTTATGGGCAAAATGATGACGTTCAATTTTTTTAAGTGTTCAAATCAAAGTAATATGAAAGAAAAATTTTTCATCATCTAACTTGAGTGAATTGATGAACAAGAAATAAACTGATAAAATATACCAAAAACAGAAGAAAAAAAAGTTGAAAAATAATGAATCTCACATACCTAGTCTTTCCTTGATCTTTTAATTCTTCATTTAGTCGATGAGCCAAATCTGGGAAGAGAACACGTTCAAGAAAACGTAAAACACGAACAGGTGTCACATGACTATGATCTGAATAGGCTGATTTCGGTTGTAAGTTAAATTCAAATGTACAAGAATCTGACACATAATTCACTTTCTGACCAATAGGCAATCGTAAAGTCTGAAGTACAAAAAATGCACAAATAAAGGCAGGTATTATATATATATATATATATATATATATATATATATATATATATAATGAGTAAATACTACACTGGAGAAATGAAAAAAAGAACAATTGTTTGAATTACCTCAGATAATTTCATTTTATAAAGCTTCTTAGCTATTTGTTCACTAAGTTGCTGAGCTTCTTTTGTAGGCCATATAGGAACTTCCATACATGGTGTACTTATATTTGATGACCCAGACATAAGAATCTCTCGTAAGCGTGGTATTCCCAACGTTACATTCATTTCACCACGTCCAGCAAAATGAAAAGTATTCAATGTCATCTGAGTAGAAGGTTCACCAACTGATTGTGCAGCCAGTAAACCTACAGGATCACCAGGTGGTGCTTGAGCATTGATAATTTTGGCCAAACATAAATCTCTTAATTCAGCCGCTGCAGAACATGGTGGTTCAGGCATTGTTTTATTTGTTATCTTATCTTTTCCGGATGTTTGCTGTTTCTTCTCCATAGTTTTAAGTGCTTTATGAGCTAGTTTACTACTGTTAAGAATTTTGACAAGTGTATGCTTTGATACAGTTTTATGTAGAATCTAAAATGTCAACCAGATAGAAATCAAAACAATTAGATCCCATTGAAAAAGACACATAAATCAATTATTCATCCTGAGTTAGATCATACATAAAACAATATAAATGGACACAAAAAATCATTGATTATCAAAAAGAATTTGAAGGATCTAGAAGTGAAAATTAAACAGTATTACAAATAACGTAACCACTAATCATACATAATACGACTTAATAGGTTACACAGTCTTGAAGTTCAACATCAGAAAATGAAAGTAAATTAATGTAGTGTAATGCACAAATAAAGTAGAACAATATTACAACAAACACAAATTATTGATTATTTCTCAACTTCTGGAGGTGTAAAAAAGATACTGATATTATTAATATTGAATTAGCATAAATCACACGGTATAAATAAACAATAAGGTTTTTTTTCGTATAGATTAACTTGATGTTAGTCAAGAACAAGAACTGGAAAGTGAACAAAAAACTAACATTAAAATGTTCTGTTGTAAATCACACTAGATTGAAATTTAGTCACAATGTATTGTTATTTTCAGAACTTGAGTACTGAATCTCATGGTTCTTTACTGATAGTATTGTAAGCTACTTTCAAGTTGAACAATTCACTCATATAGTTCTATACAAAAGTTATAAAAAATGGAGTTGATTATTTAAATGAATAAAAGTTTAGGAAGTTGATGATTAGATTTATGGATACAATGTTGATTGATCGATCGATAATAGGCGATAATAAAATATGGCTGAGTAATCGGGGGCATTCACGACATTGAACTATTGACGTAAGCCACCCAATCACATTAATCTAAGAAGACAAAACAACCAGTAGAATCATTTCCATTATGTCAAAAACAGAAATCTTTTTTTTTTCATTATACAGTAATCGACAACCAATTATTCATTTCGTTTATTAAATTATATTTACTGATAGTTTCTAACTAGGTATTTGTTATATTATATCAACTGTTATTCGTCAGCTGTTAGCAATAGTCACAGAATTGATGAAGTCACAGCAATAAACTCACAAAAAATTGTAGACAAATTTATACTAAAAAAACCGATGAGAATTGTGCACTGTAAGTAAAGCAAGTTAAGATCAAATGAGTAATTCTCCTTATAAGACAAAAACTAAGTAGGTCCCATTGTCAACTGAATAATAATTGATGTCATTCATACACCATAAAATCAACATGTTGTCATCTTTTAAAAATCAAATGCATAGATTGACAAATAAAAAAAACAATTCATAATATTACGATTGAGTTATTTTAAAAAAAAACATACACGTTGTCTTTTAACACCAACTTGATCTGCCATTATTTGTATGGGTTCAGGAAGTAAAATTTTTTCAAACAAATGAGCACATGTTGGATTATCGGTATTGATTTTATCACAATGCCAACGTATTTTCATTAGATTTACATTATCAGCAAAGAAGTGTAAGCCAGTAGGTTGTAAAAAGCCAGACTGACATACATCCACTCCATCTTCTCCATAACGAAATTGAATTATGTTAGATCCTGAATCTCTCACCGTTCCATCATAACCTATGCTTAAATCCTATCCAAAGTGTATTCGTGTAAAATTTTTAAATGAAAACAAAAAACATTGAGTGAAGGAGATGAATATCAAGCTAGAAAATTTACAAACTGTTATCATAACCAATGACTGGAAACGTTGAGTGAAATGACCCTGACTGAATTGGAATGTCACAGATGCATTCGCTCGTAGTCTTTCCTTACAATCTGTGCTTGTTAATTATGGGAATGTATTTATCCTTATCAAATCATCTTTTCTATGTTTGGTGTTTTCCTTTCCTATGACTGATTGAGTGACACTAAAACAACTAGGAAAGAACAAACTGCACTATACTTTTTCAAAGTATTTCATATTTGGGAAAAGAAACTAAACTCAAAAAAGCCTATCAACTATTAATTACTATTGCTACTGGATAACAGTAATGTACGAGACTGGAATACAGAATTTTACAGCTTGCTAGATAAACTTAAATGAACAAGGCAATAAAGTATCGTAATAAAAATAGTAAACTAACCTCTAGATGTTTGATAGCTGATCTCTGTAAGTAGCCTGATCGGCTTGTTTTTACGGCTGTATCAACAAGACCATCTCTACCTGCCATCGAGTGGAAAAACAGCTCCTGTGCAGGGAGTGAGGTGAGAAATCGAGCAGTACACATACCGCCAGCACGTGGACGAACATCGTAAGGTGGGAATGAAGGTAATGTTTTACCACTTAGCATTAATGGAACACGACGGCCTTCTAATTCAATCTGACCTAGAGCAACGGACATCTGTTGAGCGTTAACCTTTGGAATAAATAAATACATAAGTGGAATTAGATATACACCTATGATAACACAGTAAATGAGAGGAATAATCTTAGTCAAAGTGATCTGCCTAACTACAGCTAAACGAATGCAACGTACAAATAACCTTAGTGAAACAGGTTCCCAATAACAATGACATCTGAACAACGTAGTTAAAGATTACATAAGTCTTAGAACTCAAAAACCTGAAGCTTAAAATAAATATAACGTTCGATGTCTAAGAACTAACAAAAAACTCAGGTAATCAGATCATTATCACACTTTATCATTACAGTACCACGGGAAAAAAATTTCATAAAATTGTTAGTCGTTTAGAGCTACTACTATCTATCTAGGAGTAGTCTGAGTATTATTTCGGAATTTTATTAAATTGTTGATTATGGTCTGAGGTAGAAATCACGAACGCTGACATTTGTAAATGTTTCGAGATATTCTTACTCTAATAATTATACTTTCCGTAGAAAGAATCCTATGTATTTCTTGGGTATTTAATGAGTGAATAATCCATGGGGGAACTGGGAAAATAAATGTGCATTCATGAGATGGAATAAAAACTCGAACACTTGCTTACCATACCACCTTTAGCACCGACATGGACCATGAGTTGCAAATTGTTCTCCGGAAATCCAACATATAGGCCTCCGGGAATAGCAGAATCACATACCGCATCTTGTGCTCTTTTTAGCCGATCCTTAATTGCCATATCCAACTGGGCGAGACGTTTTTGAAAAGACTGATCAGTCGGTGGAGGGAATTGTGCTTGACGATACAAACGATTTACATTCGATTCGGTAAGTTCTTCTGGTTTTAAATTAAATGTGTCTGCAAAGGCACAGAGGCCAAGATCTTTAAGATTACTAAAACGACGTTGCCTTTCTTCATCTGCTCTATGTGAAAGCAAAATATCTTTCAAACCCATTGTGAAAGCAATGAATTTTAAAAACCTATTGGCTAGTAAACTAATTCCATTTAATAAACATGAAGCAGATTCAGGGCCATATGCTTCATATACACAATGTATCAAACCTGTACTGCTTGAACCAATATGAGATTTATCCAACATGCCGGATACAAGATAACCATCACATATAACTAAATCTACATCGGATAGGGGTGTTGGTCCACCGGGAGCAACTCCTGACCAAAGTTCAGCTTTAGTTCGGCGACCTAAAAGAGTGGCATTTAGTGGCAATAAGCCTGGAGGTGTGAGATTTATCAGCAATGTTGAAACAACCTGAAAAAGAGGATATAAAAATGAAATATTGGATAAATAGATCATCTTAACACATTGATAGTGTTGTTTTTATTTTATCAGGTATAATGAGGTCATCTTTTTAGTTTCCTTTTATTTCCAACTACATAATCATCACTGAGCAATTCCAATGAATAATCTACCATTTCTTACTGAATAAAATCATGCATCTATACTCTATCAAAGCAAACGACAATCAAGTGGACTGCAATTTTGTTATTACTAAACAAGCACATATCCTTGTTCAATTATATGTGATGCCCGTGAAATTATATCCGGAATGAAAAAAAAGTTAACAGCTAATTGTTGCTGACAACATTAAAACTAAAAATTCGTCGGAGAGAATGTCGAGCATGAATTGGAATACAATGAGTACTAAAATTCCCATTTTCCTATCTCTGATCCCCGGTTACTTCACACAATTGATCTTGCAGGAGAGATTCACTGACGTGTAAATAACTAAATCCAAATCCAGTAAAGTAAAACAGGTAAGTGACTTTTGATACATTTAGATTTCCCATAACATGGCAGAATTGTACAGATATCTATTATTAACTAGATGTGTTGGATCACACCCTTGTCAAATACACGTTACTTTATTTTCCAGATAATTATTAAAAAAATTTGATATATTACTGTAAACAATAAGTGAATAACTATCCTAAATTAATAACTTGACGAATTATTGTTTTGTTGTTCATCAAGTAAAAATACAAATTGTACACCAGCTCCTTCAGAAAGAGAACAATCAAATAATGTAGGGAAATAATGTGAAGTTGCCAAGTAAACTGACAACTTAGTTATATACTTTCTTTCGGTGAATGGTTTAAATGATGATAAAATTGGAGCAAACTAATCAGCAAAACAATCCTACTAAAACCATTAGCCGGATTGAAGTACTCTTATGTACAGTACCTGTTTTCCAGTCCACAAACGTTTCGGCCAACATATTGCAGGTTTAACTGTGATAATAGACGGTGGACCTGAAGATTTTTGTCGGTTCATAGCAAATAGAGGTCGAAGAGCATGATACACAAGATCCAAATAATCAGCATGTTCGAGAAATCGATCACGCATTGTTAGTTTAACTGCTGCTATAACATGATCTTGTATAAGCCCAGCAAGTGGTGTCCCATCTTTGGGTACTAAATACTGATGTGGAACAGAAGCTAAACATATATTCAATGGAAAAACGATACATGAAACAATAAGTAAAAAACAAAGAAATGTCAGTTATAAATGTTTTTTCTGAATATAATACGATGAAAATTTATTGAAGATTATGGACGAAATGAGTTTTGAAAGTGAGCATAGATAATGATTGAGTTTATTCTAGTCACTAGATAATTGATAACAGTAAATGGTGGGAAATAGTTTATCAACACTAGTACACTAGTTCATAAGTGAAGAACCCACTAAAAATTGATCTGTGTAACTTTTCAAGTTTAGTCCGAATTGTAACTGAGGTCTATTGTAGAAAAAGAAACGGAAATACATACGAAACTCGTAATTCTGAATGTAAATACGCGATAGCCTATAAAGTGAAATAATTGGAAACTAAGGTTTAACAAAAATCCACAATATTACAAGATCAATATTGTTAACTCAAAATCTATGACGACCAATTAGTTCATGCCCATAAATTAGAATCGATTAAATGAGAACTAATATCGCAAACAAGTCACGCTGATCAAATGTGATGCATATATGAGTCCCGATTTTCAGGTTGTCAACATCGAGAACTACAATCGACTAATCTCTATTGGTATAAGTAAATTCTCAGAGGATTGCCTGATTATTGTCTTTCAAGCAAACGAAATTCAGGGTGCATGTTTCTTCTTATCCGTAACTCATCAATCGAATGTACCAGCAGCCTAAGGCAGAGCGCCGCTGTGAACACTAATAATCCAGTGCAGATTCCTCTAGCTGACATGCCGCGAATAGAACGAAACGTGTGTTCTAGATTTTACTGGTAGTCATAAATCCAGCTTTATTAAAACTTGTTTAAATATGAGTTATAATTGACAATATGACAGATTAGAACAAATTTAAGTGATTAGTGTTTACCTAATGTTTCAAGTTCAGCTTTTGCTGCATAACTTTGAACAAAATGTCCATTCATTTCATCCCCATCGAAATCTGCATTGTAAGCTTTACAATTTGAATAGTGCAATCGAAGAGTTTTTGCTCCTGCACACTTAATTATTCGAACACGATGTGCTTGCATTGAAGGACGATGAAGCGTAGGTTGTCTATTCATAATAAGCATATCACCTTCAAGTAGATGACGATTGACCTGAGAAGAATCGAAATAAAATGTCATGCAATTTTTTTCACTTTATACCATTGGATAATCAATAGTGAAAAGATTTCTTTTAAAGGATATGTTACTTACAATAATAGGTATGTTATCTTTACCCAAAATAAGTGGTTTCAATCGTAAAGCCAACATTTCACGTTTTTTCTTAGCCTGTGGAGTATCATTTGGCGGTAGCATAGTAATGATACCATTTGAGAATTGAATACTTGTAGCTCCTGGATAATTATTTGGTCCATTCATTACCAATTGACGTAAATGTACCAAATTGAATTTTGTTACTGGTGTTGGGAATGTTAAACGGGATGCAAAAAATAACGGTACTCCAACCTAAATATTTATGAGGAAAAAGTTTAGTAGTTAACAAAAGGAATACATATATATCGATGTATATACATGAATAAATAATATCAAGTCTATGATGAATGGATTGAATATTGTAGATATAAAAAAAAATCGAAAAAAATATCCATTGTTCGTTATCTTATTTTTAATTGTTTAACACTTATTTCAATAAATTTGTATGTGAGGAAAATATTATTACGCTTCACTATGATGCTACACATTTTGGCACATAACAACTGATGATTTAAAAAAAAGGCTCGGAGTAAATAACGCTTCACATTAGGTACCATATTCTATACAAACTATATATATATATATATCAAGGATGTACATTTTAGACTCTAGTTATTCCATTGAAATCAAATATGAATTCAATTAGTTAGTTACAGAATTACTAATTGAGCAGAAATAAATTGTTCATTGTGTTTATTGTATAACGGTAAATATGCAAAGTCACAGAGTTGAAACTCAGCCTTGTCTGATTCGTTTTGAGCACTAAACCAATATCACTAACTTTCACAATGTACATTTCAAAACTGAGTGCACAAACTTGCACCTGGTTAAATTATTGCGAAACTTGGTTTACATAAATCCTAAAAATAAATGAAACTATTAACAGATTAAAATTAAAATTATACCTGTAGTGAAAGACGGCTGTTTGCTGTGTAAATTATCATTGCACAAGACATAGAAGTTTTAAACATGCAATGATATAGCAAATGAATGAGCTATGATCTCACCCAAATCAATTAAGTTGTCGTAAACAATCAAAAGTATGACTGGGATTTAACAAAAGGAGAATGTAGAGATAGTAAATAATCGACTATAGCTACACTGCCTAAAAAAAACATTGTTTGATATCTGATAAAAAGCCAAATCAAATCCATTAAAATATATATGTTTGTATCTGTTTTCAGAGCTAATACGTTACCTATATTTGTGTTCTTAAATTATTTATATCATCGCTTTAGATAATGTACTGGTGAAAAAAGTTAAATAATATGGAAACTTAAAGCAACAAAAAAAACTCAACGTATACAACCTGATAGAACAATGCGAAAACAACTTATTCAACTACTACTAGACTTTGACTTATTCGTGTGGCGGATGGCTGGAAATACTATTCAATAACCTAAAGTGAAGTAGACAGCGCGCAATTTGAGCCTGCTGAAGGTAAAGTGATTAAATTATTGAATTACAGAGTCAAAGAACTTATTCACACTAAAGACTAAATCATTCCTATAAATATTCACAGAAATATTAAATGGACATAACAAAACTTGATGAAATATCAAAAAAGGTCCGTAGTAAGTGAAGCACAGTTGATACAAAGAGGAATGAGATTAAAATGTGAATGATATCATACACTTTTTACTATTTCGGTCTAGTAAGAACTATGCAGAAATTATTTCTGATAGGATGATATGATAACTATGATTTATAACTGATTTACTATGAGAATATTACTACTAAAATCGCTTTATTTGTGGATATTGTACAATGAATTACTTCTGACAAGTGGGTGTAACGTAGTTAGAAGCAGTTTTCAGGATAAGTGTACTAGATACTTGTTGGATGTAAACAGAAGGGACCACACTAACTGATAACCTACAAGACTGAACATTTTTTGAAAGTGGTCTAAAACAAAGTAAGGCTGATAAAAGGCCAGAAATAAAGAGCGCTGTATTACATAATAGTATTTGGAAATATTAGAAATACTAAACCTATTTCATATTACTAATGATTGACTCAGAATTATATCTCAATGAAGAATTTGTGGTTCCAATGAGGTACAGTAACTAGAAAACAAAATAATAGTTCAAGAGATTAATTTGAGTTGGTCAGAACTCACCTCAGTAACACTAAGATTTGGATCTGGACTGATAACAGAACGACAAGCGAAATTAACACGTTTACCCATCATGTGCATACGGAAGAGACCTTCTTTTCTTTCTAAACGTTGTCTTAACCCGGGTAGTCGAACTGCATTACTGCTGATCCCACTTCTGGACTCTAATCCTAGAGGTGTGATTGCCATATTCATATCGTATATCCCATTAACAGCTGCTTGGAGAAGCACAGTAGCAAGTTTAAGTGCACCCTCTGATTGTGTGTCATCAATTGAATCGCCACCAATGGTTGAAGTCCCTGTTTCAGGGGGTTTATTTACATCAAGAGAACTGCTCATTTCATTGCGCTGACGAATAAACTCCACAATATTGTGTAGGCATTGGGCTCGCTTAACAATACGGACATAAACAGCAGTTTCCGGATGCTCGTAAACCAAATTTCCAACATGTCGTGGCTAGAAAAAAAGAATTAATGTACATCGGTGTCACTGAATCAAATACAATACACGAAAACAGTCGAGATTCGATCTAATAATAGGGTGAGGAATTAGTTTTATTATTATTACACAGAGAGGTACTCATCAGTTATCTAAAATTTGACCTATGACTATCAAAATCTAGATTTACATCAGCAGAAAGTATGTCACAACCAGAGTTAACAGAACACATAACTTCAATACTGTCATATGTATCTTCAGTGTTTGAACAAAGCATCAATAAATACATAATCAGCCAAGAAGATTAGACTCCACACTTTAATACTGTATTAGGAAGATATACAATGGAGTGAAAATTCGCAAATCAAGAAGCTGGTTACTATAATAATGGATTCTTCGAGCAAAATGATTCAATTGTGAGGAGTTCATTACACATTTGAACGTCCTTTTCAGCACAAAATTATACTCAAACAATAAGGAAGGATAGTCAGCTAATCAGGATTACTAGCTTGAGAAATAAATCCTTTAGATGTTACGCGTTTCGATGAACCAACCTTAAAAGCGACATTCTTAGGATCCTTTGATAAAAAGATAATATATCTACAAGATTACTGAGGAATTAATCTGTTTTTAGTTTACGTAGATTTCAAATGAGTTAAAGAACAGAAAACCATCATTTCTGTAAACAAATATTCACACACACTTAAAAAACCAGGCTATGGACACTGTTAAAGTGGTGAGTCAAAATTTAAGATGAATTTCTTACCCAACGACAGAGAGAAGGCGACAACAGAACATTGTCCATAAAAAATACGTCAGTAGGAAACGTATGGTTCAATCGTGCGGCTTTGAGCATAGGAAATAACAGTACTAAGAGATCCCCATCGTTGGCCCAAAGACATCTCAGCATTATACGGATCATTTCTTGAATAATAAAAGGCGTAAAATTGTTACCAAGCATATTGAAATAGTAAATAATCGATAAAACAATTATGAAAGCTTAAATACTGAAGGCAATTTACACTATATCCGTGATAAAAATTCTCTAAAACCATAGAGCTTTAAGTGAATGATTCAGGTAATTATATTATTGGGTAGAAACCAGAAGACTTGGGACAATGAGTAAGAATACTCGCTAATCTAAGAGCTGTATTACAACTGCGTCAAATGATTTTACACCATTAGCCAGCTTGCCATACCCCATTCAGTCAGTCAGTTACAACGCAGAACTTCGTACGTACGTACATCAGTTCAGATTATCATACCACATTAGCAGAGAGAGACAATTGTCACTTCAAATCCCATAGTACTAGAGGTAGTAGAAGTATATGCTGTAATCAGAGAGACTGGGGTTAGAGGATATTATTCAAAAAGTAGAATCTGGTGAAACAAGCTTAAAAAGAAAAAGATAAAGGTGATAAGGAACTCCAACGGTTAGGATTTGAGAAAACACAAAGAATGAATGCACCTGAACCATTACAAACGGCTTTTTTGCCACATCATTCAGGGTCTCTAACCATCGATTACTATCGTTTCGCGAAACCCAACCAGGTAGTTGACACCTACCAACATGACTCAGTCCACTTGTCAGTGACTTTATGGATTTCTGCCGTGTTTTGGTTGAGCTGGTCCCTAAAGTGTTCTGTCCATCGATCTAATCTCCTGGATTGAGAATGAATAATAGTCCCATCCTTTGCCGAGATACTCTCGCTAACAGTCGGATTCCAAATACCAATTTCCTTGATAAGTCTGAATAGTTCTCTACTGTTACCAATTGTTGCTATCTTTTACATCTCTCTTGCCTTCGATACTCACCACTCTTCGCTATCATGGCGTAGGCTTCTTCTCAGCCTGCGCTTAAGCTCACTCCGCTCTTCGTTCAGAACCAGGCAGGATGAGTTTCCAAGCATATCATTTTGGTAGATGCCTCTGAAATCCATTGCTCCTCACAAACCTTTTGGTTCAACTTACTGGCAGATATCACTACCATTGCCACAGCTTTTCGGATATCGTTCCAAGCCGCCTCGAGGTAGGCATCACTTAGATGATTGACTAACTAGTTTTCTAGTGGCTCCTGAAATATACTCTGCTGTCTTTTTAGGCTCCAGTTAGCAGGAAACAAATAAGTGCTCGTACTACAGCAGGATTTGAGACAAAACATGTGCCCTACAATGAGCAGTAGTCCCCCATCGAGCATCTCCAACGATGACTGATGGCAATGTGATTTGTTTAAGTCCAGCCTTGAGTAGAATGTAGAGGCCGCCATGCCAGACGACAATTTTCTAGTGCATAAAGTCGGTGTTTTCCAGAAATAGACAACTATCTGAGCATAGCTGTAGCAGAAGGTAACCGGAGAAGATTATGGAGCGAAGAAATGATTCGAAAAGTATAATTCAGTGAGATAAATTTAGAAGGAGAAGGACAGAGATTATGAGGAATTTAGAAGGTTAGAATTAGAGAGAACACAAAAAGTGGATGCATCTGCGCCATTGCAAACGATTCTGAGCCATGTCGTTCAAGGTCTGTAGCTATTGGTGACTCGCGGACCCCAACCAGGTATTCTAAATCTACCAACACGGCTTAGTCCACTTGTCAGTGACTTCATACATTTCTGCCATGTTTTGGTTTGTCCGCCCCTAGCTTTCTTCCAAAGAATATATGAATGGCGTGAGATTTTAGAGTCCTGGTTAAGAAGGCCTGTTGTCCTATTTGGCACAAGGTTCGAACATTAAGAGCTCCGAGATGTAGTTCAGAGTGTGGATTCAGGAGACTAAAAATAACATCTCGCGAACCTAAATCATTAACGGTAAGAAGTGATAAAGATATGTGAGAAGAGTTAGTTATAATTGGTAGGGGAATGGTTTATTTATGAACAGGTTGACCTTGTGTGCTGTTAGAATTATGAGTGGTTGTCATTTCTCAGCTTCCCAAACCTTTGGAGGATACTTCTTGAGGGGTTTTAAAAGAAAGCTAGGTTAGTGTTGGTCTTAGTGACACAGAAACATGACTCATACCCCACAGGGCAATTGCTTGAGGCCGTTCGCACACGGCCATTTAATGGGAAATCTATGGAGTAAAGTGAGACCTTTTCTAGCCGCCTCCGTCCGTCAAGAAAAGGTAGTACCGTTACAGATGCTGGTTGTCGGAGGGGAGCAATTTACTTATGTCGCATCCTTCTATGTAGGTCATTTTTAGGGCAAAGTTCGAGACTTCAAATAACAGAACGAAGGAAAATCAAAAACAGTTGGTCACAAATATCTTGCATAACCAGTCAAGATGTTGGCATTCTACTTCATAGTTCATAACGAAGATCTCTGTCTCTGTACTATGTTATGCCTTAATCGGAGATCGATTTCTGAAAACTAGGGAAAATCGACACGCTGAAGAGTGTTTCACGATTAAACTGAATGAAAAGATGGGTAGTGCTGAAGCACCATATCTGAAGCAGCGACTACATATGACAATCCATTGATTTGAACTAACCAATAATGTCTGAGTCAAGAAAATCTAGTGATAATAATAAAATCAAGATCGACAGGATAGGCTGTCAGTTTTATTCGGAGAACTTTGAATGCCTTACTATCTCGAATCTGTTCTGATGTTATTCGAACGAAAAATAGAAGCTTAATGAAAACATTTAGTTTGGAGGACGAAACTGTACCAAAAATAATTTACATTCTGAGGAGCTTTTACCGATTTCATAACATTCCACTTACCTACATGAGATTCTAGAAATAATTCGCTAGCCAAATTTAACTTGTATGACTTAAAATTAAAATCATAGGTGATTGTTTGCTTTTTCCTATACTTTAGAAACAGTAGTGTAATTTGGAATACAACAAGTAGGCAACCTCTTGTATTCGACTTATGTTGTTATAAATTTTACCGTATCATACAATATATCTTTATAACTTCACAGTAGTATTTAGTGCAGTATTCATCCTGATTCATTGTTTCTTGTTATTTCATTGATTTATATAAACAATACAATCATTTTGGTGCCATATATGTATAATTAATTTTTACATACCAGGTGGGAAACATATTTCTTTAGACTGCTGTTGGCTTTTGATTGCTTCAGACAGCATATTTCGGGCTGTGGATAAGTTTGCCGTGTAAACAGATTCTGCTTTACTAGCTTCACTTCCATCAGACATGTCCATAAACAAAGAAGACTTCTGTACCAGACGTTCTTCCTCTAGTTTGTAACCATCAAGAAGATCACTACAATCTTCTTCAACTTCTCTACAAAAATAGGTCATCAAACATTGTACATAAGCGGGAAATCTTAAGGCAATAATAATGAAGAGATTGAGAAAAGTTCCGCTGGTAAATATATCTTAAATACTGTCGTTGTGGGGTTAAGCAATCAGAATTTATTACGAGGTATTTTTACGCCTGAAAGTGATGCGTAAATATACATATTAAATATCAAAGTACACTGAAAAGACTTGCTTTATTGATGATACTAAACCGCTAATTATCCCAACATATGTACACATAGTTAAGTGTAAGGAACTGCATGTATATTAAACAACAAAGAAAAAGCGAGACTACAAGACCAATGAATTAACGAGCGAAAATGCAACGAGACGGTACACTTACAGTAATTATAATGAATTGTGGAATGGAGTCCATGCTCATTAACCTGTAAATATTACGATAGTATCTGCATTCAACCTAAGGCCATCCACTTGAGGTAATTTAGCAAGTTTCGTTAACAACATATTATTCACATACAATAATAATAATAATAATTTCTCATTTTACGTCAACATTTACTATGCCCTTTGTAAACCTGCTACGATCGTCTGAACAGTTTAGAATTGACCGACCATGAAGACTACCGAAAGTAAGATAGATTTTGTTTTTGCGAAAAAGCAAAACCGCGATAACAAGTAATTTTGCACACTTTATGTGTTCGTATTAACTGGTTACTTAGTAGTTAGTGATGCTATTTATATATATATATAGTGTATAACGCTGATAAAATTCTACGGAACAAGCATGAAATATATTAGTGACAAATCAGTAATATCGGGTTATTCGAAACCTTTATTTTCTTAACCTTGCTACCCAATATATACTTTGATCTTTCGACTCATACTTACTGATGATACAGTAAAAATTGTTTATTTGAACCTAGATTTTGGGTTCTGTGTTGATGCGTTTAGGTTCAATATGATAATTGTCAGTTTGCGATAACCTGCAAGGTTATCTAGCGTTTGTAAAAAAGGCAAAATGTGACTTACTCCTTCATCCTCGCTTTCGAACGGTTACCCCCAGCGATCGATATTGGGTGCAGAACTAACTGTTGTTTACTAATGTGTCTTAGACCCCAAGACCCGCTACCGCACAGCTTGCAAGGAGCACGGGGTCTTGTAGCTAAGTTCCTAATCGCAACTTGACGCAAATCATCGCCTGACAATCCTTCCAGCTCCTTAATTTCAAGAGCTTTCGGTTTACCAGGAAGTTTAGTGACTAAAACATTATTATTGTGGGAGGTAAACATGCCTGATGCTCCAAGTAGATACAAGGCCGAAGCAAGATACTCCGCACTGTATAGGCGGAAACATCCGAAGCAGAAAGACTTTACTACCTTCAAGAAGTAGACACAAAAATTGCACTCACTTTGTACAACACATCAAACATGAAGGGATTGAATACTGGCTTTGCAAACTCAATGTGGCCACAATGACCAGGGCAGTCTGTAAAATCCAGACCACAATGTGCACAGGTTTCGCTGTAGCCAATGACTCCTATGATATAGCAATAAATGATGAATTGATTCATTACCAAAATTTATGTCATGGAGCCCTCCATCTACCCCACGGCCAGTAAATTTATCGAAGGCCAGGTCATTTGTAACCTTGCGGACTGACAGCCTTCTGATTTCATCAGGGCTATAAAATCCATATTGAAGACCAGTGATTTGTCCAACGTTATTACTATCCATTACAATGCATGTGACACACTTTAATTAGGCGGTACAGAGGTGACCTATGTTACAGGTCAATTAAACTCTAAGCATCTGCAGCATGGGAAACTGACCAAATGTCTTATGGCATCCTAATAGAATGTGTTAACAACGTTCGCTGAATGCAGAGATACGCCCTTGCACTTCGTAAGCTTCAAATGTAATAAGTTCTCCAAGTCAAATAAACCAATATCCAATATCTTTTTCACGAACTTGTATAAACCAGTTGATTTCTTTGCCCTCTACTCTTTTTCTCCCGGTAAGGTTCCAGGTGTTTGGTATTTTCCAATGAATATGGGTCTAACTCCTCGACTACCTAATTCTAGTCAGTTTGCTGTTGATTGTTAGTTTGTATGTCACGTGATTTGAATGAAAACGTTTGTTTCAGGGCAGTAGGGATCCTGGATACCAGCAGCTATCACATTGCCAGACGGGATATCAGTTATTTGCAATGTGAAGAATAATAAGGATAAAACCCTAATGCTAACATGAATAAGATTTCAGAACTATGTAATGTATAGTTAATTAGGTTTATCAGTTGGTAATGGAGATTGTGAGGATCTAAGTATAAGCAAGGCAGAGGAAACAGAGATAATAGGCGAAATGGATTAAGTTACTTATTTAAGGAGATTGCAATAATAACGACTAGCAAGTCTCAAGATATGCATCAGATACAGCTTGTCCACAAGGGAGATCATAATCCGTATGTGAGTACGTGATTATCAAGTCTCTTCTTAAAGCTGTCCACTGAGAGGGCTGTGGTCACCTCGGCTGGGAGAGCATTCCCAGTTGTGACGACTCTCAATGAGAAAATGCGTGCGCGAATCTGAGTATTCGCTCTTTGATGTGCAATTTTTCGAGGACTGCCTCGATGGAAGTGGTGATGATGCGGCTTAAGATGGTTTGGCGTACTTAATATGTTGTACGCCATCCCGACCGTAGATGCTACCTTGGCGTGGTGGTCGGGCTTGCCTATCGTGATGACCCAACAGAGCTATATTGGTTGGAACATATGTTCCTGTAGGTTCTACCATGCCTGGTTGGTTGACTGGAGAACGATGAGACTAAAAGCAGCTACCCAAGGTCTGAGGGCGAAGTCGTATTGCTGACTGCAGAGGGGTGTGACGGCAGTAAGGTGTTTCCCTCGGACAACCAGCATCTGCAGCGATGCTGCCTTCTCACAAGGAAGTAAGGGTTATAAAAGTTCGGCCGTAAAAATGTCACCACTCAACCTACCTCACGATTTTCTGTCTCCTTGGGTAAGGGCGCCCACTAAGGGCCTTTAAGAGCGGAGCTAATTCTCAAAATACCTTTCATAAAAAGGCCGTGCGTGACCGGCCCCAAGCAGTTGTCCCTTGGACTCTGCGGTCACGCTCCCACGTCTCTAAGACCAACACTAATCTATCTTCCTTTTCAGGTCCCTCAAGAAACAACCTTCCACGGTGTGGGCAGCCGGGAAGTGACAACCGCCCTCATACCCGTAACAGCACGAGAGACCGAATTGGACGAAATCAAATCCTTCCTACACCCCCTAATGTCTCTCTTATCTCCACTAACTCTTCTCACATTCCTTTATCTCACTGAACCACTAATCCAAACGAAGTGAGTTCACGAAACGTCATTCCTGGTTTCCTGAAACCTCGTTCTAGACTACATGTTGGAGCTTTTAATGTACGGACATTGTGTCAAATAAGGCAACAGGCATCATTAGCTAGGACTTTAGAATCTTGCGCCATCGATGTATGCTGCGTCTCAGAAACGTGCATCATTATTCTGATTTCAACTTGTCAAAATAAAGAAGCAACTCTATGTACTCTTCGTGTGTCAGGTAGCCCTGATGCTGCCTGAAAGATTTCTCCTAGACTGGTTCCCTGTAGATAGTCGCTTGTGCGCTGTCCGACTCACTGGGACAGTAAGGACTCGAAAGGATAGGGACACTCGTCTTTGCTTCTTCGTCGTATCTGCCTGCACTCCCACTGACTGCAGTTCAGACAAGGTGAAAGATGAGTTTTACAGAAAGCTTTCGGACCTGCTCCGAAAAGTTAGGCACTCTGATGTAGTAATAGTGGCTGGTGACTTTAATGCTCAAGTAGGTAGACTAAGTGAAAATGAAGGACACCTTGGTGGATGTTATGGTGTCGCAGCTCAAAAAACAGACAGTGGCGACCGTCTGTTGCAACTGTGCTCAGATAACCGCCTGTCCCCAGCAAACACTAACTTTAGGCATAAGGAAAAACATCTCTTGACCTGGCGACCCCTAAAGTCGTCTCAACGTTGGACCCGACTCGATCATATTGCCATCAGCCACCAATCGAAGGGTTCGGTAGAGGACTACCTCTCGTTCTAGGGCACATGTTTAGATTCAGATCATGTCCTAGTGCAAGCTCACTGAACGTAGGAAAGACACCGCGAGGAAACCTCTTACGGTTCTACTGAATGATAATAAAGCTAGGAATATATTTCAGGAACAACTAGAAAGAGAGTTAAGCAACCATGTAAGCGATTCCTATCCGGAAGCAGGTTGGTATGATATCAAAAAAGCTATGGAAACGGCAGTGATATCTGTTAGCAAGGTAAACCATAAGTCTAGGAAGAAGCCGTGGATCTCCGTAGCATCTACCGAACTGATGGATGCTCGAAAACTCATCCCACCTGGCTCTAAGTGCGATGAGGAGCGGATTCAGCTTAGGTACAGGCTGATAAAAAGCCTACGCAATGATCGAGAATAGTGGTGGGTAGCGAAATCGAGAGAGATTGAAAGGGCATTCGACTCAGTGAATCGTGGGGTTCTGTGGCAGTGTCTGTCATTGAAAGGTGTACCAAAGAAGTACATTAACCTTATACAAGCTCTCTACTCGAACACCACTGGTCGAGGGGGAGCATATGGCGAACTTTCATCGGAATTTTTTACTTGAAGTGGTGTGCGTCAGGGATGTTCACTTTCTTCATTCTTGTTCAATCTTGTCATGGACATGCTTCTAGATTTAACCTTATCCTCGTTCGGCTTTTCAGGAGTGAACCTTCTATCAGGAAAATCGCTTGCTGACTTGGAGTATGGTGATGAGATAGTTCCATTTGGTGAAGACGATGACAAAATACAGTCTTCTGACCACCCTGAACAACAATGAAAGCATGTTTGGGAAGCGGTTTTCCCCGTCAAAATGCAAAATATTGCTTCAAGATCGGGTTTCATCGGCACCTGAACTAGTGATAGGCAGTGAAGTACTCGAGCGTGTTGATCGCTTCACTTACCTGGAGAGTCTCATCAGTGCTGATGGCCTGGTGACTGAAGAAATCTCAGCTCGGATACAGAAGGCTCGATTGGCTTTTGCCAACCTGCATCACTTATGGCGCAGGCGAGATATCCGTTTGCTGACTAAAGGACGAGTGTACTGCGCAGTAGTTCGCTCCGTTCTACTATATGGCTGTGAAACATGGCCAGTCAGAGTAGAAGATATTCTTAGGTTGCTGGTTTCCGATTATAGGTGTCTTCGAAGCATTGCTCGTATATCGTGGGACACCCGAGTGAGCAACGCTGTCATTAGGAAACGGGTGCTAGGTAAGAATGGCAGATCAATAGATGAAGTGGTGAAACTTCATCAGTTGAGGTGGTTGGGACATATGTTGCGTATGCCCAACCACCGACTGCCTCGTCGAGCTTTGTTTTGTAGTGTAGGAATAGGTTGGAAGAAAGTTAGGGGCGGCCAAACCAAAACATGGCAGAAATCCATGAAGTCTTTGACGAGTGGACTTAGGCATGTCGGTAGGTGTTGACTACCTGGTTGGGGTCAACGAGATGATAACAATCAATGGTTAGATACCCTGAATGACGTGGCTCAAAACCGTTTTCAATGGCGCAGGTGCATTCATTCTTTGTGTTCTCTCAAATCCTAAACTTTTTAATTCTTCATCACTTTATCCTTATCTTCTTAATTATATTTCACTAGATTCTACTTCTTGAATAATATCTTCTAATCCTAACCTCTTTGATTACTTCTAATACCCTTACTACCTCTACTACTATTGGATTTGAATTGACAACCACTTCTCTGTGCGATTGTGGCATGGCAACATGAACTGATGTACATACGTACGAAGTTTTACGTTGCTATTGATTGACTGATTGATTGATTGTTGTACGCCATGATCAGATCACCTCTGATTCTCCTGTAATTTAGGGAAAATAATCCCAAATGCTGGAGTCTATCTTCATTAGTTTTATTTTTTAACCCTATCACCCATTTCGTTGTTCGTCTCTGCACTCCATTTAAAGAATTTGTGTCTCTTTTGAGGGGAAGGGGTGCGAAGACCTTGCGAACCTCAAGGCGTGGGTGTGCACTTGTCTTAAATAGCTCTAAGAATAATTCAGGGGTGATAGCATCAAGTTGTCTTTGCATAAAGTGAAGAGTTGTATTTCAAAACGTTTATCACTGTCCATTTCCCAATGGATATACGGTCCTTTCGAAGCTCAGTCGAATCGTCTTTGCTTCTAATAGACCTCCAGATTTTCGCATCGTCTGCTTAGATCAATACAGTCGAGCTAACTGTGTCTAACAGATCGTTAATTGATATCAGTGTAGATGAATTTTCTACCGTAGCAGTTCAATTTGTTTCCAGTAGGTGTAAGTCGAACGCCCCTCTCTCCTAGTCCAATATCAAAACACAATAATTCTAGGAGAAAGTGGTCTATTTATATAAAAAAATGGAAATACAAACAAATACCTGACTTTTGATACACCTTCCAAGTCCCAATTACTCTGATGAGTATCCGAGTTCAAAAAGATTAAGTGATGCTAGATCCAACCGCAACAGTATCAAATCCAAATATGGCTGTAGCCATATTAAAGACCGAATTTAAACAACATGTGTACAGTTCAGAAGCAAACATAAAAACTTCAATATGAGTACAAAATATAGGAATAATAACAATATACAATGATAAAATCTCAAAATGGAATCAAATAAAATACCAAAATGTCAACAGAAAGAGTCAGTCATATCATAACACAAATATATATACATGGAGGGATTTTCCAAAAAACAAAACATTCAAAAAAGATTCTACAATCAGTAGTCATGTTTTCCTTCATGTTTTTCTCCCACCGGTAAACACAATATTTAGAGTGCCTTTTCGTTTTACAGACATAAAAGGGATTAAATGAGTGCTTCAGTGGGGAAAATGTGTACTATTTTAATATAAACCGCGTGGATCTTTATACGGATGAACGGACATTCGCACCTCTTGCTAGTTCTGCTTTCCTGCTTTACAATGAACTGTCTAAAAAATCACTTTTCACGTACTCCAAAGGGTAACATCTCTCCTCTGGCCTCTGTTTGGAAGTGGATACCGTCATATGTTACCAAACTGATTAGTAGTTGCGAAGGATACGTATCACTCCGTACCCGGTAGGGGTCTGGTTCGGATTCTTGAGTAAGTGTCGTCAGGTAGGTCATGTCCAGTCAAACTAACGTGGTTACCTTCAACGTTAAGCCTCTGTCATCCCTCCTGGATGTAAATGGTCTTCCTAGTCTCCAATCACTACCGGTTCTGTTGAATGCCGACGATCTGAAGATATACAGTGCGACAAAAATGCAGGTAATAGTTAGGGGCGTAGAAATGGTCTACAGAAATTATCTGAATGAACTGAAATTTCACAGTTGCTGACAAATGTTTTCAAGTGCATTGTGATGCACATTAGTTACCGAAGTACAGATACTTACACCGTGAATAACACTGAGCTACTTGTTGTCCACATACAAAATGACCGAGGAGTTATCGCTGGTTAATAAGTAAAAACTACTGCGCACTACCAGTCGATAACCTTCAAAGGTTTTAGAAGCTTATGATCAGAACGTAGAGCCTATAGCTACGTAAATGTTAAGAGCTTTGTTACTTTGTTTTTGGTGCATGTTCATCATTAAATGCAAACGAGCAGCTAGTAACTGTTTAAAAGGAGGATATTAGGTTGTTAGAAAAGGTTCGAGAAACCTGAATTAAGTTGATTCCTGGAATGATAAAGTAGCCATATGATGTGAGCCTGGCCGAACTAGACGGATTTCTCTTATTATATTGAAGGACTCGGGATGATCTGATTACACCTTTCCCATCTTTCGAAATAGAGACTTGACGAAGAAATACCGAAAACGTTCACGAGCTCAAAACCGATTGCATGTCAGATGGCTGCCAAATTTCTCACAGAATCATCGACGTGTAGAATTCCTTAACTCAGTAAAGGGTTGAAGCCCAGTCCCCCAACGTGGTAAATTTTTTTGACAAACTAAGTTACTTTTCAAATTCCTGATTACCACGACAGTCATACTTATTGAATGTATGAAGCGATTCACTGCCACTTTCATCCGAAAATGTGTTTCTATGAATTTCTGATACTTGCTTATGTGTTCATGTAATGTGCGGTAAGTTCAGATCTTTCCGGTACATCTCGGTCTATCTCCTGTTTTTTTTTTAGCTTAATACTGATAAAATCCAGTTAATTATTAGGCAACTAAATAAAATAATAACTTGATATGTTCTTTGATAATTTTCATACGAGGATCGCTATCCTTGTAAATGATCATTATTAACATTGATTATTTTTTTACTCACTCGTGAACCACAGACCGTATGATCTTAGACGTCGTTAACGGATAGCGCTTCTATCATTATTTTTATTCCCGCGTTAGTTGTCATTATCTCCCTCCTTTTCGTTCTTGTCTTTGGATGAAAAACGGTTTTAATTGATACCATATTTTCTTGAGCAATACTGATCTCGTTTATTTTTCTTCGTTTACCTACATTGTAACGCAAAATCTATAGCTCGTCACAGCTATGATTATCTTAGTACTTTTCCAATAACTACACTTTCTGTTCGTCTGTAGTCAGGAGTGTAAGTTGCGGTTCATCCCACTATTGTGCTATGTATTTTGCTGCACAGAATTCTTACACCTAGTTAGTTATCATGTAACCACCAAGACCTAACAGTCAATGTAAGACAGGTTTTCGAACACCACTTTTAGGTATCTATTCGTATAGGGACTGCCTGTCTAAAATGTTTGGTGTCCGTATGTTTTACACATTACCTATACAAAAATATCCTATTTTTATCATACAGGTATAGTGTAGCCGGTTTATCAATTCATGGCTGTCTCTGTACCTTGTTTGAAAGTAACAGTAAATGTCGATGATTGTGGTGCACTAACTGAACAAAAGGATCCAGAATTATTGCCAATCTTTTGTTCATGTCAGGTAAATCATATTTGTACTATTACTTTTCTGAAACTGAAAAAAGCTTGCCTCTCTTTATGATTGTTTTGTTTTACGCTGAACTAGGAAAACATGTAAAGACAACGAGTTAATTAACAAGGGGTTTTTGTGAGACTATCATATCATTAATAATATTGCTCTTACATCGCCTTTTCTGAGAAAAGCTACAAGATATGTACTGAATTTTATCATATACACCGTCAGCTTTATATAGTGATACAATTGACCAGAAACAAGTTCATTTATTTATCATTGAGCTATTGTGTGAAGGCTAGTTTAGCTGTCCAGATAAAAGTCGGTTAGCTAATTATTACCATTTATTCCTGAAAATAGTAAAGGAATACCTACCTCATGGTTGGATTTTTAAGAATTGTTTGGGGTAAAGTGAACAGAATACTGAAATCACCTTCAAACCATGTTTTTGAAGATCGTAATTCTCCACCTCCTAAGTAGCTTACTTCTATTCTTAGAGATTTAAGGACATTAACAAGTTATGAGTCAACACAAAAATTAATATGCCTGGTGACATTTTTCTGATCCCACCTATTCGTTAGTCTACTGGATATAAGTCAGGTTACTAGGTAATTGTGAGGCATTTATTAAGGCTGAATTTCTTTTGGGTGATGTGCTTGGGACATAAGTTCCATTTGCTTTGTTTTCTAAAAGCCGCCTTATCCAAACATAGTATCAGTCGATTTTGTTAACTTAGTTTGAGCAGTGTTAAGAGGATCGAAATTCATTCCTACTGCCTTTAAAATACTTAATTATGTGAAGAACTTAGGTAAAATATTCAAAATAATGACTTATTTTCTAGTTTCTGAATAAGTAAATCTCTAAAATTTATTGTTACTTTATTTTATAGTCTGAATATTGTAACTGCGGTTCCACATTAGCGATTACTCAAGCTTCTGCTACAAAAATTTATCAACATTTAGGTTTCCCTAAAGGAAGGGATGAAATGTTGGAACAGGGTTACAGATCAAATGCTCTTCATATTTGGGGTACTCACAATCTTAGTACAGAAGATATTTTATCGTGGCTATCTGATTACAGCCCGAAATGTATCGAATGGATAAATGATGCATCATGTATGTTTATTTATGTTTCTACCTTTATTCTCTGTCCTTGATCTGTTACGAGGATTATGATTTATCGTGTTTTTCTTCCTAATAATAATTGATTGTAAACAAAACGCACTCATAAACGGTTGTATTTTGTGTTCTATGGTTCCTTTAAGTACATGGTATATATATATATATATATATATATATATATATATATATATATAAAGTAGTCAGCCAATCAGCTGCTACGTCAAACTTCGTACGCACGTACACCGGTCCAAGTTGTCATACCACATTAGCACGGAGATGCAATTTTCGGTTCAATTCCCGTAATGGTAGATGCAGTAGGAAGTATTAGTGGTAATGGAGAAGATTGTGGTTCGAGGAAATTATTCAAGAGGTATAATCCGGTGAAATAAATTTGAGAAAAGATGAAGGTCATGGGGAATTAAAACTAAAATTTGGGAGAACACAACGAATGAATGCACCTGTGCCATTGCAAATGATTTTGAGCCATGTTATTCAAAGTCTCTAACCATCAGTTACTCTTGTCTCGTGAACCCCAACCAGGTAGTCTACGCTTAACAACATGCCTCAGTTCAGTTGTCAGTGACTTCATGGATTTGTGTCATGTTTTGGTCTGGCCGCCCTAGCTTTCTTTCAACCTACTCCTACACAACAAGACATCGGTCGTCGAGGCAGTCGGTGATTGGGCATGCGTAACACATCCAACGGTGTTGCGTTCTGATATACAGGAGATTGGGAATAGCATTTAGGTCGTATTGGAATATTTGAATTCGGACGTCGGTAGGATTTGAATAGATACGTAGCAGAATTATAAAACCTGTATGCACTGCTAGATAGCTGGAGGTGGTCAATACGGAACCCTGGGTTTTATGTTTCTTGCTACTTAACACTCGTCAGCAAAGAGTCCCTGTTATCTTGACGGAGTTAGTTCTCCCTGATAGGTTTAATTCCATACCATTCAAGTTCACAGTCTGAGTTGTTATCAATCAGGTTTTCAAATATTGACTGTCTATCAACCACCTTCGACCACCCACTATCTCAATATATTGCACGCAGTGTCGAGTAATTCAAATGGGTAGCCAAATCGCAACTTGATCAGTATAATTCGTTATGCACTGGAAAGACTAAACAAACATAATATCCTTCTCTACTCAGTGATCAGTCGACAGTGAGTACCTGTCAGTACAGGATATCTTTAGAAAACAAACCGGTTTTTTTTATAAACTAACCTGACTGTAATGGTTGCATAATTTTAAAGATTACCCTCGTACAATAAAAAGTTGGTTAACCATTTATTTATCATACAAAATGGGAAGCAAACTAATATGAGGCTTTGGATTACCTTAGGTATTGCGTTTAGTAGGGTTGTCAAATGATATCAAGGACTGTCAGTACTACGTCCAAACTTCACTGATTCAATAAGTACAAATTTTACAAACCTAGTTCATTTCCTTATATGCGATTCCATCAGGCAGTTAGGATCTTTGAATAAAAAATTCGTATTTACTATCGTGGTGGTCTACTTGCAACTAATAAATTTACAATAACTTAAAGGGACTAAATAGTATTTATTTCTTTTAAAAACGATATTCTTTATTCAAGTTTTCAGTTATTGTTGCTAACTTATATCACTAGGAGTTGACACTGTGTATCAGTTGCGATTAGCGTTTACTTTTCACACATCGTATAATCGAAATTTTATTCGTCGTTATAATATCGATCAGCTTAGGTGTTTTGCTCATTTCTTCATCGCTCATCTGTCTTGTTAAATATATGGTATTAAACCAGTTTCACAACTACACTATAATTTCCTTTAAGGTAATGTGGTGTTTGAGAATGAAAATACTGTTCTACGCGCTATAGCTGATTTCGCAGAACCGTTTGATCGTCGTGTTGCATTAGCTGCAGCTGCTGCTTTAGCCTCACTTCTAGAAAAAGATGATATTAATGATGTGGAATTAAGTCAATCAGATAATTTAGATGGATTATCTAAAGATTCTAAATCTTTGACATTATCAAATGAAGCTCTAGATTCTATTGAACAATTTTCTCAACATTTACCTCCAACCGGACGTTGGTATAAAGCATTATCGGTTCCACCCCAAACAATATCACTTTTCCTACGATTCCCACATAAAAGTAAGCAAATATTTATTGTAATATTTCATGTCCTAAATATTGATGGCAGATGCTTCATTGATTTGATATCCTATGGAAATATGCTTAGTTTTATCCAAGTTATTGGTTAGCAATGGAGTCCAAAAAATCTACATGTACCAATAGAGATTGATCAATTGCTGTGCTTAACGTCAACGACGGGAAAATACGTACCCTCACCAGTAGTGATTACGTAGTTTTAAGATTATTTTAGTAGGCAGAGCTCATCTCATCGTTGGACTGTGAGCCTAATTTGAGTCAGTTAGCAGTGACTTAGATCAAACTCCTGGTAAACTGAATTAATTAAAGGTTGATCGATTATAGCAAGCCGGGCTAGATATATTGTTGTTTTAGTGGGATCGAATTCAGTGGTTCGAAAATATACAGCTAATTCAATCTGTACTACTAATATAATGTTGTATGCTGTAGTAGGTAAAGGTTATGGAAATGACATAACTTTTCCTTTAATTGTCTAACCTTGAGATTACGTATATAAGAAAAAGTTTGTTACATTGGTCGAATTGACTCTTGCTTACAGGGACAATTACTTTCTCTGTTCAAGAATTCTTTACTTTAAAATGATGCAGAACATCAATTTTTTCATCTTATCGGTTTTCTTTCTCCCACAATTGTATTTAGATAAACATTATTGTTTGGTAATTTAGTAGGCATATTGAAGACCATTATGTCTCATAGTCATGGATTGTCTCGGTTTGTTGTGTTTCTTAGCGTATAAAAATTGAAGAAATCAACAAAAGAATATTGAAATGAAGCCAAACAAAATCTAACTGAAATGTTTACCGCTAAAGTTAGTAAGGCTTGTATGTGTTCGTTTAAAAAGCATGCGAAAAACAGATAACATACGCTGCTAATATTTTAGCAGTGAGTTTCTACTGTATGTCAAGGGTATCAAGTCTATTCTTCATATGAAGTGCGTGCAATTGTTTGAGACTTATCTCTGTTTATTTTATTATACCTTTACAGCAGATATAAAACTTCCTGGCGCAGAACGCCGCAGTCTTTATTACCGCCGTTTTGGTAACCCTAATTATGGTGGAATGACTGGCATCTTAAGTCGTTCATACAGACGTCGTGTTCGGATATCGCGAATCAAATCCAGCAACGATCCAAACGGTGACTCACGTCATATTGAAAGTTTGTCTGCACAATTTGCCGAGTTGGTCGCCAACGCTTATGATGATCCTGATTCAGTAGTTAGTGAAATGGTTGATAAAAGTAACTATAATATATGGAATTCAGCTTCCCAGGCACCTGCGCCTGAGCGCCCACTTGTTGTTTACGATAATCTGTATGAAGAGTCAGATCAACTAACCCATCCCACAATATTTCCCAAATATACTACAAAGTCCAACGCAAGACAGCGTCGAAATGCTAGTGGTATGATCTTAAAGTGTTACTGTCATTCTCGTCACTTTATTATATGATTTTGTATAGGGAGTTGATAAATCAGCATTCTAAGTCATATCTTTTATTTTCGGTATGTTCTGTTTTGCTCTGCTCAGTACTCTTTATCCTCTATACTTCTCTAGACTTAGCGCCTATAACAGAATCAGAATAAGCTGATAGTAAGATACGTTCCAAATAACCATGTATATCAATCAAAACAAGCTAGTTTATTCCATCAATTCTGTTTAAACATGAATTTATATTGAGTTTACGTGAGAAACTTCTAGCTCACCATGTTTAGAAATTAGTAGTGGATCAATTAATGTGTTTGAATTCAATCTTGCATTCAGATTGAAATTGTTAACAGTTTTTTTCTCATAGAAATTTCTCTTACGTACAGATTCCTAAGTTGTCTTATAAATGATCCATTTTTTTGTCGTTATTACGTTCAGGGCATGGGAGTTCTACTTCTACCTAGATATACGAACAAGATAAAATAGACCCTTACATATATATCAGTGGTATTTCGTGATTCAGCATATAATCATCAAAGAAATTCCATATATAGATATATGTTCAGGTATTTTGATAGTTACAATTACTTGTATAAAGAAAAACATTACTTCAATTGATTCATTTTGACCCTACATAATTCAATGTCATTCTTATTTGTCATACTTGTGATACTTGTGAAATACTATTTATGTCTTTATTAGTATCTTAACTTATCTGTGGATTATTAGCGTAAAGTACATTGAATTATTCATTATCAACGTTCAGTAAGACTAGTGATTTTATAGAAAAAAATTCAATTTCAGCATTGTATTTTACCATGTACTTTGATATTGGTGAGTGAAAATCAACTTAAAGGTTATTGCGTTCATCTTCTTAACTGCATGTTATAACAAAAACTTACAATCTTGTTTTTATCACTACTAAAAAATTTACAGATAATCTTATTACTAATCATATTTTTGACTATTAACTCAGCTTAGTCTGATGATGCGTACACTCTTTGTTTAGCAGTCTAAAAGTTTAATCATTTTGTTCGTATACGAACTTTCAGCTATTTGAAGGTTTAACTATCGTTTCAATCAGTTGGCTTTTTGTTTTACAGGAATACAGATTCAAATAAACTGATTAGAAATTTTTTATCAAATCTCCTAACTTATAGAAATGTAATGCTCATTTGCACTTAAAAATAAGAAAACCCAACTATAACTTTGTGGATAAAAATTTCAAGTCCAAAGTTATGGTATCACATTTGGATTTTTCTCTTGTATCTAAAAACAACAATCACGTTCAGTCGTCAACTCACATGATAATTAGGTTTTCACTGTCTTCATGAAAGATGGCGACTTTAGAGATGACGTTTATTTAAGCTGTTTGGTAGTACTACTCATGAGTAGTTGGTCTCGTCTCATAAAATTAATATCACACGAAAGCGAGTTCTGCTTACTTGATTAACTATTTCTAAACCACTATTTTTTCTTAAAGGGTAGTGATGATACTCGGCTTTCCGAACGGCAGTAGATGGCTCTAGGTTCTAACTTGGTGTTTAATGACTAGAAACTTAGTTTCTTACCATATTTTTCCTACTCGCTTTTTACTGGCTTTATTTGGTTGACTATACTTAGTCTTCGTTCTATCTTATTGAACTGATATCTTATCTCTGTTTGTGTTTGGTAATGAGTGTTTATTACTCTTTTAATCTGCTCAGATATACACTTATTACAGGAAGTCAGTAGTATCCTAACTTGATTTGAGTATAACTGTCAAAGTTTGTGTAACACTCTGAGTCGTTTTAACACAGAGTACGCAATATTATTAATTTGTATTGTATTTGTTTCGGTGGTGTCTGTGATGGTCATCGGAAATTAAGGACAGTAAAAGTGTATCCGCCAAATTGTTTATCTTGGGCTACCTTTCAGTACTTACTGTTAAGTTGTTTAATTTCTTTTAAATTATGTGGCTTATTCGTTGTTCACGTCATACGTTAATTCATTGCTTAGACACCAAACCATCTCGTATTATATTCCGTGAGTGGTGTCAGTATAAGTTTACTAAAAGCTATCCAAAATAATTGATATTGTACATCTATTTACAAAATTCTCTTTTTCTAGAGTTTCCTGTACCTAAACCCCGACGACAGCCTCACAAGTGGCCTCGTCGAGATCGCGGTCCAATACCAAACCGCTGGCTAACGAACGACGACGATGATGATGAGGATGATATTTTTGAAACCCCAGAACCCGGGACGATTGTGGTTCTAGACCCACGGGAACCATGGGGCAGTGCATTGTCTGGTAACTCTAAACCTTCCTTACACTCAAGTGGTTCCAGTCGTGTCAAACGTGCTAATCGCCATTATCCTCGCAGCATTGCAACAGTAACATTGATGCCTGACACTGATGTTAATGATGATATAAATCTGGTGGAAGACGAAAATTCTCTCAGAACTAGGCGTTTGTTGGCGTCAATGAGTATGGTAGCAGATGTAGAATCCAACTCTGTAAAACCTCGGTAATTTTACTGCTTTACTTTAAGTAGTCTAATGTTCCGTGTATGCATTTTATATCAGCTGCTATAACTGTTAGTATTATTTCGGTTATAATTTTCAATGCACCTAAATGTGTGTATAGCAAATCTATCTAACGCATCTTTTAAATAATAGGCGATTATTACCAGTGTGGTGTTTACTATTCGCAACGGAGCTCATAAATAGTATGTAGTGGATGAGCAGCAGTGTCATCCTGAAGTTGCGGACAAAGCAAAGAGTATTGTATCCGTTTACATAGCGCAGTGGGAATAATTTTAGGAGTTGAAGATGTGTGGAAGAAGACAGCTGAGAATATGCCTGTTTTGTAAATATATGTTTTATGATAAGGTGTACATTTTCGGCTAATCAATTGCATCTTTCATTGATCCTTCGTCTTCTTTCATTACACTACTATTTCTTAGGCAATGTAGTTTTTAATTTGTAGGTCTGTAATATGGTATATCCAATTATCTACAAAGTGAATCTAAAGTAGTTCTATAACTGCCCTACACCGTTCTTTGTATATATCGAGATTGTATAGTTTTGCATGAATCCTTACCTGCAAAACTGATTCTTTTATGACAGTCGTGTACGACAATAATTTTCCTAGAAAGTGTCTTAAATTATGAATCCTGTTATGTGCTAAATTATTTTTAGTTAATAGTGTATCTGAGTTGAACTTCCTTTTCATTTATTTAGATCTGTTTCTGAACGTCTTGGTATTCCTGGAAGTCGTCCAATTAAATCACGTAAACCAAATATTTGGCAACGTTTGGGTTAAAAGCTATGTTCACGTTTGATAATCTTTATAAAAACCTTTTACTTCCTTCCCCTTTTGATCAATTTATGATATATATTTTTTATCTTTAGTCTAGTGTACATATATATATATCCAGCACTATTCTTAACTTGGCTTCTCTTAACTTTATTTACAAGTTATATTCCTATTTTAACTCCCTAGTTGTAAATATAAAACAGATTTGTTAACACTAACATTGCCGATATTTCTAGTTGCTTTCTTTTTTTTTTTTTTTGAACCAAATCTGTTCATCATATTCAACTTTATGCACTTATTTTGAGAAATTGTTGATACTCTTTCAAGTATTTAAGCCTTAGTATTCAGGTTATTATTTAAATATGTTATCTACTGATCGAAAGTTGATTGTCTCAACATTCAATAACAATGATTTTGTATTTATCAAAATGAATTGATCGATAGGATTGGTTGTTATTTTTGTATATTGTAAAATAATATAGTTGTTTTCAAATGTGAAATACTGCACTGACTTTAAATAGAATAAACTGCATCATATATATATATATATATTTCATATGATTTTTTAAGGATTACAATAACATCTATTTATAACTGTTATATAGAAATGTCAATAAGGTGTTCAATCTCATATTATATATGAGTGCAATTCTGTTTTATGTGTAGTTTTGACTGGTTTTTTGTAGAAGTCTTTGCAACTAAAATGACTATTCAAACTTCTAAATTTCATTGGTGCATTTATTCAATTTTATAATAGCCAATGAAGGGATATGTTATCTCCTAGGTTGCTTGTACTTACTTCTCTAAAGTCTATGAATAATTTTCGAAAGATTCATTAGCTGTAAGACTGAATTCTTTCTTATTGAATTTTCTGATTAATCTAGAATTTGATATGAGAACAAAATAAACTCATTCAGTATATCCAAATAAATATGTTACTTGAAATAATTAAGTTTTTAAAACTATTGGTTTTTTTTTTTTGTAAATAAGCTTACATGGAATTACGGGATGAAACTTTTGCTTTAAATCATGATTTTATAGTTTTTAGTACTCTTCAGTTAGATATATTTTAAAACTTATACTTCCTGAATGATTCAAGATTTTTGTCATTTAATTGCTAAATGAAAGATGTGATTGTTGGTTCTTTCAATTTAAAACTATTCACTGTCTTCTTTCTTGGTAGTGTATTTTTTGGTCGCTTTTCGTTCTCTGAGCTGGATGTTTTGGTTGTGGAGCTTTCATTGTTCTTCTGAACAATATCATCAGCACAAACTTCAGATAGGAGTGAGGTATTCGAATTTCTACACCTTTAACCCGTAGCTTGTTTTGTGAACCTCGGTCTTGATTAGTTGCTGTCGACCTTAAATCTGTCGTTGTTTTCTCCTTTGTTTTGGTTGCGTCCCCCTTTTGATCTATTTCTTGATCCTATGTAGCCTATGATTTTTCAGACTTTGATAAATCGGGTCAATGTCGATGCGTTTACTGATCGACCTGAGTGCCAAGCTTCTAAAAATTCTCTGGTGTTCTTTTCTTGGTAGTAAATAGTTTATGAAATAAAACAGGAAGTAAAGTTTCTCTAAAAAAAAATACACATTCTTAAGGATTCATGTATTGTATTTTTTAAAATACATAACAATCACAGAATAATTAGGCTGTGAATAATACGAATCATGACAAATGTATAGGCAATACAAACATGTTCTTCCACGAGTTGGCCAAATTTCTTATTCTACAAAATAGACAAATTATGACTAATATGTTCAACAAATCATTCTCATTTTTACTGAAAATAAATTTCTCTGATACACACATGTGCATGATTACTAAACTACTATGAATCATTATAGTAAAATAGTATTACTAAGGATTAAGTGTAAATGTAAATTATAATCGTAAACGAAAGAAAATGACATAAATTTCATTGTAGAATTTATGATAACCCTGATTTGATAAATGGCTGATGTTTGTTTGTTTGTTTGTTAAAAATGATTTCCTCTTCAAAGCAATAAACAATATGTAATTTGTAAACAGGCAGTCAATTATTGTAAAAAAATTTATCAAAAAAATAGAACTGATTCTTGACCTGTTATAAGATTTTTGGCATGCATGATTGTATGATGACTGTTCATTTGGCAATTACCATTGGAATGGATTTTTTGTAATTATACTATTTGCAACTTATGTATTACAGTTATTTAGCAGTGTACATTGTCTTATGTACTAGTTTTTGAAGTAGTCGATTTTCCAAATCACTTCAAAAGCATAAGCACACCGAAAAAAAAATGACGAAGTTTGTTTTGTTTTTTCTGTTTAACTAGGAAACATGTAACACGCTAGTAAGAACATAGTAAACATAAAGCAATAACTTATATAATATTTACACATGAGCTAGTCATGAACTCTCTGTTTTTTTTGTTAAACATATCGATGTGTATAAAATAGCCAAATCAACCGGAACATTAGTTTTACTCGACAGAAAAAATAATAGTGTTGTTAGAAAGTGCAAATAATTATTCTTCATCATATCACAGAAACCAAAAAATATTGGGAGTATGTTGAGCTAATTAGAAAATTTGGTAAATTCTAGAATTTGGCATACTTATTTTCATTCATAATCGTATTGCGCAAATTCGGAAGTCATTACGTACTCTAGTATCTTTCTTACAGCTTCTCAAGTTAGCTTGTAACTAAACGATTTCAGGGATTATATGGATAAGCTAACCTTGTAATATTGGCTGCAATTTTATTAATTAAAGAATACAGATTCATAAAAAGATGTTAGTTGAAAACTGAGTTCAAAACTACAATTCTTATGTTGAGTGAATTGCGTACTTATGCCTGTTTCCCCTAGTAGGGCATAGGTCGCCGACCAGCATTCTCCACCCTAATCTGTTCTGAGTCTTTCTCTTTAGTTCTATCCGATTTTTCTTCGTTCTTTTCATGTCTCCATTTTTCGAAGTAATGTGTTCTTCGGCCTTGAGGATTCCAAGTAAGGTTTTGTTTTGTGACGCAGTTGGGTGCCTTCATCAATATGTGTCATATCCACCTCCAGCACTCTCCTAATTTCTTCCGCTGGAATCTGGTTTGTTATCTCCAACAGTAGGTTGTTGCTGATGATGTCTGGCCAGCGGATCCGAAGTCAACAATTAGTAAACACTTGTATCTTCTGGATAATGATTTTCGTAGTTCTCCAAGTTACCTCCTCCTACAATAGAGCTGTCTTGACATTTGTATTGAAGATTGTGACTTTGATGCTGGTTGATAGTTGTTTCGAGTTCCAGATGCTCCTCAATTGTAGAAATGTTACGGTTACTTTGCTAATCCGCGCCTTCGCACTTGCAACAGATCCATCTTGCTCATCAATGATGTTGCCAGATACGTAATGGTTTTTACATCCTCCAAAGCTTCCCCGTCAAATATCGTTTGGTTGGTGCGTGTTGTGTTGTTTTTGCTTTTTCCTTTGAGTATGTTGAAACCTACTGCTTAGGATGCTGCCACTACACCGATTTTCTTGTTTCGCCTGTGCGTGTGCGGCAGGAGAGCCAGATCGTCAAGCTGCATCCTAGTTGTCCGCTGTATCCCCTGCTTCCCTCTTGATGTTAACGCCCTCATAATCCAGCGAGAGAAAAGGTAAAAGTAAGAAACCTTGCCTTACACCAGTTTTCACATGGGACGTGTCTCTAAGTCATCCCTAATGCACGATCTTGTAGTTTAATCCACCATAAGAATTATGTATGATGTTAACTATATTCTCAGGCACGCCGTAGTGTCGTCTTGTCCACACTATCAAACACTTTCTCATAGTCAATGAAGTTGATGTTGAGTGGTGAATTACATTCAACTCATTGTTCCACAATCATCTGTAATGTTGCAGTGTGATTGGTACACGATCTATCCTTACGGGATCCAGTCTGTTGATCTCGAAGTCCTTCATTCTGTTTAACACTACCCTGTTGAAGACTTTGCCTGGTATCGAGAGAAGAGTAATGCCCTCGGTAGTTTTCACACCAGTTGAGATCGCCTTTCTTTGGTATCTTGATAGCGATGTGGTCTAGTTGGGTCGGTTTTGAGGGTCACCAGGTCAAGATATGTGTTTCCTTATGTTTAAAGTTAGTGTTTGCTAGAAATAAGCGATTAACTGAGCATAGCTGCAGCAGATGGTCACAATTATCTGGTTTTTGAGCCACAAGACTATGAGATCCACCCAGGTGTCTTTCTTTTTCCTTGAGCGTTGAAGTCACCAGCCATTATTACTACATCAGAGCGCTTAATTTTTTGGAGAAGCTTAGAAAGGTTTCCGTAAAACTCATCTTTTTTCTCGTTCGAGCTGCAGTTAGTGACAACAAATAGGCACCGGTGAGTTTCCCTATCTTAACGAGTTAATTTGGACAGCGCATAAGCAACTGTCTACTGGGATCCAGTCTAAGAGAGCCAGTTGAACCCTAGGACTTAATACTATACATACACCAGCAAGGCTTTTCAGGAGTGGACCTTCTACCTAGGAGACTGGCTTGTTGACTTTGAATATGCCGGTGACATAGTTCTATTTGGTCAAGACGCTGACAAAATGCAGAGTCTTCTGACTATCCTAAGCAACATTGCAAGCATGTTCGAAATGCAGAATGCTGCACCAGGATTGGGTTGCATCGGCACCGGAACAAGCGTAAGGAGTGAAGTAGCTGAGAGAGATAAACGCTTCACTTATCTCGAGAGTTTCATCAGTGCTGATGTTATGGTGATTGACGAAATCTCATCGCGGATACAGAAGGCTCAACTGACTTTTGCCAACTTACGTCGCTCATAGTGTAGGCGAGATATCTGTCTACCAACTAGGGGACGGGTTTACTGTGCAGCAGTTCGCTTCGTCCTACTATATGGATGAGAGACATGGCCGGTAAGAGTAGAAGATATTCGTAGGTTACTGGTTTTCGATCATAGTAATCTCCAAAACATTACTCGTGTATCCTGGGACAACCGAGTAAGCAATGCTGTTGTGAGGAAACGGTTACTAAGTAAGGATGGCAGATCAATAGATGAAATAGTGAAACTTGATCAGTTGAGGTGATTGGGACATGTATTACGCATGCCCAACCACTGACTGCCTCGACGAGCGATGTTTTGTTGTGTAGGAGTAGGTTAAAAGATAGCTAGGGGCGGCCAGACCAAAACATGACACAAGTCCATGAAGTCACTGACAACTGAACTGAGCCATGTTGTTTAGTGTAGACTACCGGGTTAGGGTCCGCGAGATGATAGTAATCGATGGTTAGAGACTTTAAATGACATGGCTCAAAATCGTTTGCAATGGTGCAGGTGCATCCATTCTTTGCGTTTTCTCAAATACTAATTTTCTGAATTCCTCACTATCGTTTTTTCTTTTTTATAATCAATTCCTCTGGGTTGTACATCTCGAATGATATATTCTGTCATTAATTTTTTGATTACTGCTAATGCTTCCACTACCTCTAATACTATAGGATTTGAATTGACAATTGTATCTCTGCGCTAATGTAGTATGGCAGCTCGAACTATTGTACGTACATACGAAGTTCTACGTCTTAACTGACTAACTGGTATTTTGATGATCTGTCCTTCTTTCCAGTCTGTTGGTATTTGTTCTTCATCTCAAATCTTGTTGATGAGAATGGGGAATATGTTTCCAGTTTCTGCCCTGTCTGCTTTCGTTGCCTCTGCTGGAATGTTGTCTGGTCCTGCTGCTTTGCCACTCTTGATTTGTCTGTTGACCATGCTGATCTCTTCAATTGTAGATGCGCCAACATCGACTGGGAGGTCCGTAGATACTGCCTTGATGTTGGGTGGGTTCAGTGGGGCTGGTCGATGCAAGAGTTCCTTAAAATGCTCTACCCACCTGTTTTGTTGTTCTTCAATGTCGCTGATTACTTTGCCTCC